CCTTGCAAGAAGAAATTTCTTATTCGTATTAAAATTATTTTACTATATTTTAAGTTTTCGCTTCGATGCAAAGCTGAGAAGATATTTTTTTGTGACTATCATTTATATCCCTGCTTTAACTTGACCTACTTTTTTCAAAAATATGTTAAATGACTACAATTTGTATCTATTTATTGGTTATTTTAGTTAAAGTAAAACATTAAAATTAATTCAGTTCATATTTCAATTGTAGTATCTTCTTAAACACCAAAAGTTACTATAAAATGATTACTATTATTTCTATTTAAGTTATCTATTACAATAAAAATGCAAAAAAATATTGAGTTACTCTGATAAATTTACTATAAATAGTAATTATAAAATTTCCTGACCGCATATTAATCTTAATGATCCATTTTTTTTAATTCTCATAAAATTTTTTATTTAATAATGTCAATTTCAAACTTGCAAATTGAGCTATAAGTTATGGTAATAAATAATTTATTTTTTACTATAAACTTTCACACAATTCAACTTAAATGGATTAAAAAAATAGGTTAAATATGTCATTTTCCTTATTTTTAACATATTAATAATCAAAATCAGTATTAATTTAAAACAATTTTTTTATTCTTAATTAATTTTTAATAATAAGTAATAATATTAAAATTTAGATAGAAAAAGTCTAATTGCACATATAAAACATCGCAAAAAGTTGATTTAGAAAAATAATTTTTGCTTCTGATGAAAGTTCATTGTAGTCCTGTGCATTTATTTATAGTAACAAATAATTTTAATTGAAGAACATTGTATCAAGCCCTTTAAATTTTTATACACGTAAAAGTAAAGCAAAATATAACTTTTTTATTATTTTATAATTTCTCTGTATAAATTATAATATTAAATTACTGAATATCAATTGTATACTAAATTTAATAATTATAATTAGTATTTATTCATATATTATGTTTTAAAATCAATGACCTACTAATCAGGATATAATCAAAGAAATAAGAGTTAACCCATCAACGCCTGGCGTCCCCATATGGTGACATTCGTATTGCTATTTTTATCGCGCGTTCTTAGAATACCCGAATGGAACTACTTATCGGCTATCACGCACACCGATAATACATTGTTTTTACTTTGTTTTGACATAATTTGTGTCAAAATAATTTTTTTTTATTTTTGTGTTGTATATTAATCTGTTTTTAGTAAAAAAAATAGAAAGTTTGAAAAAAAATAATTCTCGGCGTTGATGGGTTAATGTTGTTTTTGGAATAATCCACCAACTACTCTAAATGAAACACTATCTACAGATTTGCATCGAAGCGTTTCTTATGATAGTGATTTTAATCACTGTCAGATATCATCTATACTTGTCCCATCTATGCCTCATCCACACTGTGCCTCGACCCCACTGTGCTACCGTTTTTTTTAATTTGAATGAACAAAAAAAAGTATTCATCTTTATAACTTATATTGCTGGATAGCTGGCAAGCGTTTGCCCCGTGTCGTCCTTAAAACCTGCTACCTGGTGCATGTGCAACTATGGAAGAACCATAGGAGTGACCCTCCATATAATGTGTATATATCAAATATACACATTTTCATCAAATTAATAATTACTACCTTACCCATACCGGACACAAATCGTAAAAAATAACTTTCGTGTGCACAGTAGCGTGACAATTATTATGCCATCAGATTTTTACCCAATTTCGTGAATTCTTAACTTAAAAAATGTGTTCGTGATATCAAGTACTTTATTTTTAGTAGTCAGTAAAATAAATGGAATATGAAAGAAAAGTTTTAAAACATTTTTTCACGAAAAAGTGATCTATAAAAAATATTACTTATAATTACAAGATATCAATGACTTTTGATTTTTTTCTTTCATAACTCAAGAACTACTTTACATTCGAACTAAAATAATATTGCCAATTTTATTTTAACCGTAACTAAAGTAAAGACTGTAATACTAATTTGCAATTTGTATCGATTAAATATATATGTATAAAATATTTAAAACATAGAAATATTTTCCATATGTCAGTGATATTAAATTAAATTCCCTCAGTAATTTATATTTTAATTATTGATTTTTGTACAGAAGTAAAACAACAATTCATTTGGAAGGTTTAATATCAAAGACCTTATTCGTAGTCAATGAATAAGTGACATTAATTTATTTTTTAAACAATAAATCTATAACAAATTACAATTTGTTATAATTTTTGAAAAATGAATGATTATTTAATACGATTATATTCATACATAACAATGCTTGGAGGAGAATTAAGCCTCCCTAATCATATCAATAGTTTTCATGTTATGATAATATGTAATATTTGAGGGACTTTTGAAAATGTTTTATGTATTTACTTCTTACTCTTGATCTCCAACAATGTGTTTATTTAAAAATGACGAAGGTAGAACAAAACAATGCACAATGGTACAATTTTTTTTTTAAAGATATTCAATTGTTTTGAAGTTAAATTATAAATAATATTATTATTTCAGATTATACCTGGATTATACATTGGTAGTTTAAGGGATTCCAAAGATATTAATCAGTTGGAAAAAAATAAAATAACTCATATTCTATCTATTATAGAAAACCCAAGGAAGTATTATCATGTAAGTTAAAACAACAAATATTTAAATTCATATTTTGTCATTTTTAAAGCTTATACACTGTGATCATATGTAGAATAAAAATTACATGTTTGTAAAAGCTTATGATAGTCCAGAGCAAAATCTAATTCAATATTTCACTATATGCAACAATTTTATCCATAAGGCTCGCTTAAAGGATCAAAATGTTTTAATTCATTGGTAATGTTAAAATTTACCTTAAAATAAATAAGTCAGTATATTTAAGTTATAAACAATCAGGAGTGGTCTAATGAGGTATATACCACTTATTAGCTGATAATATTTTTAATAAATATTATTAGATATAGATAAAAAAGGATAGAATTTTACTATCTCAAAGTGTCTGAAAATTAGAGATGGAAATTATGATTCACCTAAGTGATCCGATTTCATTCATTCGAATCAGGTCAACTAGAAGATCCGGTTCAAAGACCCGTTCGCGATCTAAAAGATATTTTCAGTCAATTGAATCGAACATTCAGTATAGTTTTGGTTCTTTTACGGTTCTCGATTCGCGAATCGCATGTATGATTTGCGATTTTGATTAGGGATGTGTCGTATTAACAAATGACATATGAATATGTTATCATTGATATTGGGTATGCGATCGAATCGGTTCAGTGTGATTTATACGGGAAAAAATTAAGTATTGGGGGGATTCGAATCACTACAGTTCGGCGATCTGAATCATTTCGTTCACTATTTTGACCCATTCAATGCGATCCATCTCTACTGAAAATAGTGAGAGCAACTGTCGTACTAATTAAACTTTTATTAATCATTTGATAGTTTTTCAAATATAATATTAATAATTATTCTAATTATTTGATAGTACTATATAAATAATTTGATAAAGTATTTGAGTAGTGTTTAAAACTATCTAAAACACAGTAGGACTTTGAATATAAACTTCAGACATCATGAATCCAAAAATGTTAAATATTAGTTTTTTCCTTTCTGGTACAAAATTGACAATTCAAAAATGAAGATGATAATAATGTATACAAAACCAATCACAGTATACATTCTAATGATAACCCACTCCTATAAATTTTCTATTGTCTAATCATATTAAAATCTGGGAGACAAAACTGTTTATTGTAAGTAATAGGCAGTTATTTCTTTTCCATTTTATAAGTAATAGGAGCAGAACAAAATTGTTATGAAAATTATTGTTTTAGTTTAGCGGGGATGTCAAGAAGTGTAACAATCGTTGCATCATATATAATGTCAGTCACAAATATTAAATTAAAACACGCAATTCGTTTATTGAAATTGTGTCGCCCAATTGCAAGCCCCAATGAAGGTTTTAACAAGCAACTACAGTATTTCGAACTTTACTATTTATCAGAAGTAATTTTGTCTTCATTAATAAATACATAAATTATTTAGATTTTAAGAATAGATCATTGAGAAATAGTGTTATCAATATGAGTAAAAAGTGTTTTTGGTATGATTATTATTAAATAATGTTTAATGAAATTTTAGGAAAGAGATAGGCTGAAATCTTTTAGTACTACAAATAAACAATTAAAAGCAGATGAAGAATATTGTAAAAGGTTCATTGAAGATTTTCAAAAACAATTTTAAACTTTTGTATTATATATTGTATTTTATTAATTATATCAATATAAATTAAATAGAAATGTATAAACATATTTATACTAACACTCACAAAAATAAATAATTTAAAATGCAAAAAATTTTAAATACGGAAGACTGATATATTGTTACATCAGAAAATACAATATTGTGTATTACCTCTAACTGTATTGAATGTTAAATACAATACTTTATTCATTTGACTTAGTCAAACGTCGTGCACCTCGTCCAGGAGCTTTGGGTTTACTGAACTTTGGTTTGTCAGAATCATTTTCTGGATAAAGTTCATCAAACAAGTATTTTTCACTTAAAACATCATCATTGTCAATTTCCAGCTACAAAAAATATATAATTATGTTACTTTAAACTGAAAATGAATTGATTAAAACACTATACTTTTTTGTTGATTTGAAGTTTATAAATACTTTCCAATTCTTCAATGAATGGCGATTTACAACTTGAGTATAACATTCTTACTTTAATAGGACATGAATACCCAGGCATTGAGTAAATAAAAACTATTTAAAAAAAATATTTATGATTTTAAAATTTCAAAGAAAATAATGAATTTCAATTAATTAAAAAAATATTTATCATATTATACTGTTACTATTATATATTTTTTAATTAAATTAAATTTCGATGTGAACAAAACTTAAAAATAAATTTGTTTTATAATTCTATTGGCACGTATCACATTTAAAATTTTACTACACACCAGATGATTGGATTTTAATTATCTCTAACCTATGATAAGTTATTTTTCAACATAACTGCCAAATCTATTAATGCATTTTTGAACATGCTAAGCTATTTTTGGTATGCATATAATACACTAGCTCTCCATTAAATAATGGAGGAAAGTGTAAATAAGCACAGACTGTCTGTGAAACCAACACTCAGCTATGATTATATTAATACATTTGGTATTTATGTTCAAATATTGAGAAGATTTCAAGTTTTGGAATGATATAGTATTAAGTGAACAAATATTTTATTTTCTATATAACAAGAGATTTTACATTTGAAATTACCCTTGTAATTAAAAAAAAAAACCAAATAATTAAAATCATTTTATATATATTAAAATTGATTATAATTTTTTAAGAATATTGATACTGTTGTAACACAGTAAAAAGTAAAAGGGAAAATGTGTGAAAGTGTGTGTACGAAGATGAATATGAGGAGGTGGTGCCTGCTGTCTAGGTATTCACGTGCGTGTTGTCGTACAGCAGTCACCGTGCTCGGCTGACACTCCGGGTTAGCTGTGGGTGTCGAAAGGCTGTTGTTATAGGAAGGGAGAATAAGAGTAACACCTAGGTATGAGGTGCAGACGAAGTGCAAGACACAAATACCGGGTGTACGCAAAAGGAGCCCAAAGTATGAGGTGCAGACGAAGTGCAAGACACAAATACTCGGGGTATAGGAGAGGACAATGAAGTACGAAGTGCAAGACACAAATACTGGGCGTACCAGATAAGGAGTATAACAAAGTACGAGGTGCAGACGAAGTGCAAGACACAAGTACTTCAGAGAGAGAACGGGGTAGCCGAGTATAAGGTGCAGACGAAGTGCAAGACACAAATACTCTGAAATGTCGAGGAAAAGAGTATATAGGTTAGAAAAGGAATAAACAAAGACTTTACTTTAAACAGTAACCCGGACAGCGACAACCGAGTACTAAGACTGATGAATGACACAAGGCACTGGAGTCGACTGACCACGATGGTCAGGTCTATTGGGTTTTTATAATAATTACACCTATTGCCGATTTGGCAATAAATATTATTTGTTAATTCACCAGTCTCAGGAAGCGGATGTGCTGTCTGCATTTTATTAAAATAATTCTCACGATTATGAAAACGTGACACCATCACAATACTTACAAATTGACTTTATCTGTATGTTATTTTTTTTATGCGTAAATGCATAGAGATGATATCTAGCATCATCTTTAGGAACTTGATCATTGAGATTTTCAACAGTCACATTATCTGATTTACATAATTCAATACTTTCTTTATTGATATCTAAATCATAAAAGATAAATTAAGTAAATTATACTTAGATAAATTTTGTTTAACTCATACCAATAAAGAACTGAATATAGTTTATTTCATTTGTATCCACAAACATAGAAAGAGCTGTTGCAGCAGATATAGACAAAGGAAATTTTACGCCAGACATTGTTTGAGAGCGGCTGTCGATTGATACAGATGTGCTATGACCAACCTCAGCTTTCCTCAGTTCAGCCATTTCTTCTTCTCTAATAGTTAATGGTGCTGGAGCTTTTTGTGATACTCGATTTTGTTCTANAAAATACATTTTTTAAAATTTTATTTCTGCGTGTATGTATATATCTTTTTTTCTAGGCCTTTATTCCGACTACTTTGGGTTCGTCCACCCTTAACCTAAGGGTTATTAATATATATTATTTGTATTATGTACAATTCAATTGTTAGATAATTGGAATATAATTACAACTATAATCTACTTAATTGGTATTTACATTATATTTTGTTAAATAGTTTATAATAATTATTAAAATCTTTTTTTTTTCCTCGCCTTAATCCCACTACTTTGGGTCGGCCACTCTTATCCTAAACTTCAACTTGACATGGACTCCCACATCATCTACGCTCACATCACCCATTTTTATATCGCATTTAACAACATCTGTCCATCTCTTTTTTGGTCTTCATTTACCTCTTCTTCCTTTAACATTCATTTCTACAACTGTTCTTACAGCATCCGATTCCTCTCTCCTCATAACATGACCAAACCATCTATGTCTATTTTCTTTCATCTATATATTCACAATTGACGTTACACCTATACTCCCTCTTATATGTTCGTTCTTTATCCTATCTTTTCTAGTCACTCCACTTATCCATCTAAGCGTTCTCAACTATGCTACATTTATTCTCTGTTTTCCTTACTTGTCAACCGCCCAACACTCTGAACCATACAACATAGCTGGTCTCACTACAGTCTTATAAAACTTCCCTTTCAGTCTCAGTGGAATTGTTTTATTACATAACACATCAGACGCACCTTTCCACTTAACCCACCCGAATTTAATCCTGTGTCTTACATTCTCGTCAATATCTCTGTTTTTCTTGTACAACTGATCCTAAATACTTAAAAATTTCCACATCTCCAATCACGTCCTCGCCTATTGTCACTGGTCTCCTCATTCCACCTACCTTGTGTTCTTCTTTATCAAACTCGTACTTTATGATAATTATTATAATAAAAATAAAATATTAATGTATTCACACTATTTTACTAACACTCATTAATCTTATATTTCATTATAAATACATTAACTTGTTATAATTATAGTAATCATAATAAGTCTATTTTCCACAAAAAATGATAGATTTAATAGATCATTATTCTTGCATAATTGAAAAAACGTGATCATAATTATATTAAAGCTTTTATATTTTTTCCTAAACATTAATAATCATAGAAAGATTTAAAAAACGACATTAATAATGTAATAAAATTAATACCATTGTAGTTCCATGAAGTTCTTCTTTGATTTTTGCACTTCCAAATTCTTGTTTAAGAGTAGCTTTTGTAGAAGCATACAACATTTTTTGCCTTATAGGAGATACATCGGGACACCAACTTATGAGCAACCAATCATAGTTTTTTGAATCACTTTTAACATCAAACCTAGAATTTTCAAATGTCAAAAATATACTAACAGATTCAATTAACTACGTAAAAAAAATTTAGAAGAAAACACAACACAACTTTATTTCTTATGTAAATTTAAATTATTGTAGAATTGATTTATTAATTTAAAATGGTTAAAATATTGATTTAATTAAAAAAACTTCATTAAAACATATTTTGTGCTTCTTGAACATAGATCAATGTATGTCTTTGTCTGGTTAAGAAATATCTTATAGTGTATGTATATTTTTTTAATTAAAAACAGACAGGACTGTTCATTATAAGATGCAGTAGAATTAAGACTTGAAGTAGCCCGAAATCTTTAGTTTTTATAGTAGTGTTTTTAAGTTTTAAATAAAATAAACTTAAAGGTATATAAATGTTTGAGAGCAAACACATGTGGATTTGAAGTATGTTTACAAAGTGTATGATAATTTAATAAATCCATTCTGGGTAATGCCATATAATCAAAACATCATAACTGTTTGGGTTTATCCAGATGGTTCCCATAAGTATATAAGAAATAATGTTGTAAATTAACAGTTCTTGGTATTATATTAAAGCTGTGTACTTTATGGTTCAAATGGCACTAAAGAGTTTTTCAAATATCAACTTTACCTTGTTAGTATACTACTCTATTGACAAATTAATCTCATGTTGTATGGATGGTTGGGGGGTCTATTTGTTATTTGCAAGCAAGTATTCCTATGCCTATCAATCCAAAAATATGGAAATGTTTGGCTGTATAGCTAGATGTATGTGTTTCATCTATTATTTAGTGACTAACACCTGTTATGTTGTCATTTACATGATCTTTAAGGATCAGGTAAGGGGTGATAAAAGTAAGATATATTTGGATGTACAAACAGATATAATGGAAACAACCACAGATTATTTTATATTAACTTGTAAAAAAAAATATTTAATTTGAAAAATATTAAATTTTTACCTATAAAGAATATAACAAGGTATTTGTGGGACAACAAATTGTTTAAGAATATTTTCAAAATCATCTTTCCATGACTTATTACTTTTTTCATGAGCTGATAGTGTTAGTTCTTCTGAAAAATTATAAATTAAAAGGTATACTAAATAACATAATAGTAATATAGTATCATTGAACTATTATAATAATTTTATAATACTGTTAAATTATTATAAATTAATTTTAATTTTGGATGGTGTTGTAATAAATCTAACACCATAAATTCATAAATACACATATTACCATTTACAATTGACACCTTTATAGCTCGAACACTCTTATCAGATGAAGATTTGCTGAAGAACTTTTTAAGTGCATCATTGGCTATGGTTAAAATTTTAACTAATTAATATTTATTTTAATTAATTAATTTTATTAGTAATCATAAAAAGAAATCGTACCTTTAATACCGGTTTGGTGTGACATATTAATTAAATTCTGACTCTAAAAATAAATTACTTACAAGCTGTAGAAATAATTAATATTAAATATTATTATGATAAGGTACACTATGAAAAATATTTCTTAAGTATGTGATATTTTAACAATAACTAAGTTTCAAATTTCATTTTATTTTAGTATAATTATTGTCAAGAATACTAATTTGGGAAATGTTCTAAAGTGATAAAATGATAAGAATCATAATTCTATCACAGATAAGATAACCTTATCTGTGGTTATATTGACAACGGTTTTGTCGCGGCTATTAAACCGTGATAATAATTTTTTTAGTAGAGTCTTAGATACACATTTATAGATAATATTATAGAAATCACTTTATATTATCTATAAGGAGTCGACATGGCCTAGTGAGTAGAAACGTATGGTGCGGTGCACTGAGTCCCACATTCGATCTACGGATTGTCAACAAGACTTTTCTCATGATTTTCTTATTGTTCGTGTCTAGTCTCTGGTGCAAGTCAGCCATAACACCAACCCGTCCATCGTTGGCCTAGACTAGAACTATATTTGATTCCCTGACATGTGAAAGAGAGCCACCACTCTCTATAGCATGTTCGGGAAATAGAAGGATGTAAAACGGATCATTTTATTTTATATTATCTATGCGCAGAATAAAAATTTCAGAATTCTGCGATTGACCTGGTAACTTATTATCAGTAACAAATATTATACTATAACCGTGGTCTTAAAATATTAATTGTTTTTTCTAAGGTTAAACAATTTAAATGTAGACAAATAACATATCATTTCTATTATTATTACCTTGGTGTTATATCGTGGCTTGTAGTTTTACCATATTTATTTCCCGCCCAACACTAGTCGTTCACTTTTCTCCCGCCCAGACCTCAGTCCGCCATATTACTTGTCGTTTGTTTACCCTTCACTGTTTATATATTTAGCTGACGCAAACCGTTTATTTTGTTTTTGTATTAATTTTAATAAAACCCTTACCGTTTAATAACTTTAACATTTAAATTTCAATTATTTATAATGTGGTTTCTAACAATAAATTTTACGGATGAGTTTATAATAAATGACATTTAAAGAAATCTTTAAAAAATCGTTATCACAAACTGCAGTAATTACTGACAACATATAAGTCCAGTGTAAGTTGTGATACAAAAATTAGTATAATTTTGTATAATTATTTAATAATAGACATATATGTATAGTAAATAAAGTTGAATTAATTTTTTCAGTATAAATCCAATATGTTTTATTCACATTTTTCCTTGTCCAAAAAAGGACCTCTTGCTCGTATTTGGTTAGCAGCCCATTGGGACAAAAAGTTAACCAAGGCTCAAGTATTTGAAACCAATATTGAAACATCTGTTGATGGAATTCTTCAACCAAAAGTAAATTTCACCATTATAGTATCATTTTTGATAAAAAAAATTATGGTGTTTTGTTCTACAGGTTAAAATGGCTCTTCGAACATCAGGGCATTTATTATTAGGTGTTGTACGAATTTATTCACGTAAAGCCAAATATTTATTGGCTGATTGTAATGAAGCTTTTGTCAAAATTAAAATGGCTTTTCGGCCTGGCATGGTTGATTTACCTGAAGATAATCATATTGCTGCTGCTAATGCTATCACACTTCCTGAAGTTTTTCATGACTTTGATACTGCTATGCCTGATTTAAAGTAAGTTTTTATTTAGTTCTTGTATGTTATTAAAATAATTTTACAATTTGAATTTCAGTGATGTTGATATAGAAGCCCAATTCAGTCTTAATCAATCTAGAGCAGAAGAGATAACATTACATGAAGATTATAATATTAGCTCTATGGTCTCTAAAAGTACGGGTTTTGATCAAGGATTTGGTTTTTCCGAAGTTGAAAATTCAGATATATTACGTCATGGAATTGAACATTCTTTGTTATTTAGTGATGGAGTTGACCATTTGATGAACCGTGATAAAGAGCCAATTGCTTCTACATCAAGTGGCTCTGGTATTTTAAATCAAAATAGTTTAGGAATTGATGCTCCGATAAGAGATGATGGTTTCGGAGGTAATATTGGTCAAGTAATTACTGATAATTTCTTTCAATCTGGAGGGCTGTTTGATGATGTACCAGCAGCACCAATGGGAGTATCTGATGGTCCACCTAGTCCACCACCTTTTAATACTCCTTTGCGAAATGATGATGATGATGATGACCATTTCATGCCTCCTAGTCCGTGTAGACAAAGCTCAGATGGTTCTCGACCAACATCTCCTGTTAATCTACCATTTCCTAATGCTGGTGCATTGGGGCTTATTCCATCACCTACAAGGGATCAAACCTTAATGCCACCACCAGATATCAATATGCATGACATACATCAATCAGAAGAACCTGAACAATTAAATGAACAAAATGCTACTGTAGATCAGACTACCTTAGTACAAAATGAAGAAGAAAGCTTTGCTTTAGCTCCTGTAGATGCTAGTGCTTTAAGAGGATTGCCCAAAACTAAGAGAAAACGTAAACTTATTGTTGATGAAGTCAAAAATATTTCTGGTGAAGAGATGAAAGCACAACTTAGTGATACAACAGACATAGTAATCACATTAGATCTAGCTCCTCCCACTAAAAGACTTATGCATTGGAAAGAGACAGGCGGTGTTGAAAAATTATTTGCGCTCCCTGGAAAAAATATACCAGCCATTCCTTTAGCCAAAGTGAGTATATCAACTATTGATAAATTATTTTTTGGAACAATAAGTTTATTGTAAATAATGGTCTAGATATTCTCTTTTATGCACTAGTTATAAAGATTTTAATGAAGTGAATAATGATTAACTGTAGAAAATACATTTTTTAGGATGTATAATCTAATAAAAGCATTTTATATTTAAAATTATTAATTTAATGTATAATATTTTAGAATTATCAACGACATTTAACTGCAAAAACATTATCAAATGAAGAATTAGATGGTGAAGGAGTTGTAGAAGGAGATGAAGAAAATGTACTACCAGCTATTATAGGACCAACACCTGCACGCAGGGGTCGTAAAAGAAAAGTACCACTTGATGATGATGTACAAAAACCTGCTAAGAGAGATGTATTACAACCCATTCCAGAATTATCTCAGAATCTTGTAAGCAATTAATTGTAAAAAAATTTTCTTGACATTTTTATAAATAACAAAAATGTTCTTATTATTAATGTGTTTTAGGAAACTATGGATGTTGAATCAGCAGGTCAATTAACTGTTGTTCCTCCAACTCCAGCTATGCTAGAAGAACCTGATCATTTTAACCAACAAAACCATCAAACTTATATGTCACCATTAAATAATGGTAACCAAATGTTGGCTCCAGGAACTCCTGCACAGAAAGCTAATGATTCACATCATATTAGCATAAATGAAGAACAGGTAAATATAAATGTTGAAAAGTTTACCCAAAATTATATATTCATTTGTTAAGGCAGTGTTGAATCCAGGTATATTTTTGAGTGGCCAGAACTCCCTGGTATTTTGATAGCCCTCCCGACCATCTCAAGGTAACAGTAGTAGTATAGCTATTTTAAAAATGTTGATGTAATGTTTTGTCTATTATTGAGTTAAAAACCATTTTATTTTTTTGCTCATCAAGTTTTCTTTTATAGTTTTACCAATATTTAGAGTCCCCCTAGAAAAAAATTCTAAATTCAACTAATACAGAGTGTTAGTAAAGTAAGAAAACATTTCAAATTTATGTAAAATATGAATGATGTGGGAACTCTTTTCTTTGTGTATTGTACACTCTTTATATGAAGTGTGATAGGTACAACTGCATGAATTATATACTCTATACATTTTGAATAAATAACTAAACATTTAAAAAAAATATTTAGCTCTGTTTCTTGAGACTTAGTTCTATGTATAAATAAACAAAATAAAATAAATGAGTAATAAACTTGTAATCTAAAATTACAGTTAATAATAATAGAAAAAGTTCCTTTTAGCCTTAAATTTGTAAAATAGAATGTGATGAGAATCCTGTAGCTGTATCTGAGACTATATAATTAAAATTACTAAAATATCTAAATTTGTACTTATATTGGGGGAAGCACAAATAAATATAAAGTTATAATGAAATTTCTTTAAACTCATTTTGAATCGATTGAACAAAAAAAATAAATATTTTTATATTAGAATTGTATGTTGGTCAATCGGGAAGGGCATTGAGGACATCTATGTCTTAAAATTGGTCAGTTTGAAAAAAATGTGTTTATCGAACACTAAATAATATTCAGAGGTATAAGATGGAGAATTACATATTTCTAATTATTGGAAATATTTTTATGAACTGAAATTAAATTCAAATAATGATTGTTGAATTTTTTATAGTTAATAAATCCATTTGATGAACTGCATAACTCAACTATTCATAATACATCAAATCAGCCAGAACTTCAAAATATGGGTTATGATAACCAAATAAATCAGGTAAATTCAAATAGTTATTATGTTCTGTTTCTATTTTGCAATTTCAATGATTTTTATAGACTACTGATTTCAATCAAATTATTATGGACAATATGGGATATGATGGTCATCATAATGCACCAGTAACACCAGGTTTACCTTCCCCAAGAGGTGGAGCAACACCTTGGCGAGATCAAGATTATGACTATCCTTCTTCAGTTGGCCCTGTAAGTATTATTTAAAGTTGTCAACTTATTTATTATTATAATAAAAATTTCATATATTAGAAATAAAGATAAGTGTGATATCTAAATAATCAGGTTTGGGACTTCATTTTATGTTAAAAAATTATTTAAAACATTTGACTAATTGAAAAATAAGGCCTGTCAAATGGCTTACAATTTAAATTTTGTAATTCTAATTTTGAATTATTATTTTTTTTGTTGCATTTCTACATTTATTTAATTTAATTACACATTATTGCTTACTGAAAACAATCTTTATAAAATTTCATGTATAGTTTCTTATTATTTTGTAGTTTCATACTTGAAAAGAGGAATAAATGAAAAAAATACATTTTTTTACAAACTAACATATTAATTTTTTCAGTAGTTATTAGTTTCCAATTTAAATCATAAAAATTTTTTTTGAAAATATATTAAGATTATTCAATGAATAAAAAATATCTTATCTACACATCATGTACATTTTAGATTATATTTCCATGATTGGTATATCTTATAGATTCAACTATATATTATTGAAATGACTTAATTTTAAGACAACTCATTTTGGGCATAAGTCAACTTATACCCCTTTTCACACACAAGTGTGATTTATAAAAAAACTCATCTTAATTAAATTGTATACAGTTTTTTAGATCATTTTGTTGAATTAAAATATTTGTACTATATTTTAGAATTATGTTTATAGTATTGCTTCATGTTGTTTTGTAATATTAATTAGTTATTATTTAAATTTTTAGACTGATGAACAACAAGCTCCACATGAAACTAATGAGCAATTTGAAGAGCGGGTCATGAACAAAAGAGCAAATCAGTTGTATCATACCATTAAAATGAAATTCAATCAAAAAGATTCCCTTGTTCTTAGTGATCTCACGTACAAAAATCGTAGAAAAGAGGTAAAGTATTAATTAAGTTTTTTTTTTTATTAAAAAAGAAAATTACGTTTTTACATATCGTAATTGTTAGAATGCTGTTCGTTATGTTTTAAAAATGAAATTATTGTTCTTCAATATAATTTCTTTATTTTATGTATTTGTCTCATATTGGTAATTAATAATGATTTAAAGACAATTTTTTAAAAATTGTATTTTAAATTTTTCTTGAAAAAATATTAAATAATGAAATTCATTAATTCTGAAATAATTTATTATTTTATATTAATCTTCACAATTAGTGCTATGTACTAGTTATACTATCATTAATGTGTCTAAAATCAAAATAATGAAAAAAATCTTCTATGTGAATGATACAACAAATTATACATTTTTTTAATATAGGTTATAAATAAATTTTAGAAAGAAACATGGAAATTAAAAATATATATATATTTATTTATTTGTGACAAATAATACAAATTTATATTCAAATTATAAAAATTATGATTATTAAATAGAGTATTTAATGATAGATTTGTAAACTGTGACTAAAAAGTCTTAAGAATAAAATAAAAGATTCATAACAAAACGTTTAATTTTTAACTAGCTCTGTTATATTTTGTATCTTTGTTCTTTATTTTTTAGGCTGCTCAGAAATTTTATTCAGTTCTAGTACTTAAAAAATATAAAGTTCTAGAACTTATTCAAGAAGCACCTTATGAACCAATTCAACTTATTAAGGGTGTGTGTTTTACTGATCCAAAACTATAAGTGAACTCCAAGTCAAATAGATATATCGAATAATGCTATATGCTATTATTTGGCTTCCAAAGCAACTACTGAGTTTATACAATGTACTTTATGTGAACATGAGTTCTAAATGTTTTATTAATACAAAAATGGAAATTTTCATTTTGAGAATTTTAATTATTAATTTGAATTTTTTGTTTAGGTAAATAATTTTATATAAAATATACACTTGGTAAATAAATATCTGTAATAAGTTATTCATTGTTTATAAGTATTGAATGCTCGTTAGATTATTTATAATGTTTGATTCTTCATATATAAGTAGTTTTTAGTTATAAACACTGTTCTTGATAAATATTTGTTTAACTATTTTTATAGTATTTCATCATTGTAAACTCTTAAATTGTATCCTATACAGTAGAAGAAACTTTAATAATTTCTATTTTTCTTGACCTTCAACATTTTGCTTATAAAAGTCTTTATTATTTAATATCTAAATTATTTGTACACATTTAATTATACAAATATTTAAAATGTGTATGGTTAGTAAATAGTTATAGTTATTATTAACAACTTTTGTACGTTTGATTTTTTAATGTAATTAAGTCATGTTGACATATTGCGTTCCAATTATTTTATTATGTAAATACTAAATATATTTCTATGGATCCTGTACCAAAAATATGAATGTTATTCAAATTAAACATTTTTACCTGGCTGAAAGATCTTTATTATTATTATTATTAGTATATTATAAATTGTAATTGTAATTTTTAAATTATACAACTATGTTAGATTAAAATTTTCTATTTATATTAATAGAAAATTTTTAAGTTCTCAAATAGGACCTAAATATCTTATTTGATCTTGTTGTATTGACTATTTTAAAATATGCATTATCGTTTTTCACCATTACATAATTTTATAACTAGTTTATATTCCAGTTGGGTTGTTCATAAGTTTTTTTAATTATGTTTCCTTTTTATGGCACCAAAAGTAAAAAAGATATAGAATTGTTAAATTTTTCTATCAAATTTTATATAAATAACTTTCATTTGTAAAGTTTTTTTGATAATTGCTCATTTCCAGAAATTACTAATCACATTTTGTGTTAGTTACCATTGTAAATAAATATTTTATGATAATTATTATATTATCTATGTAGTGTATTAAAAAATGCAAGGACATAATTTATTAGCGAATGATTATTGTTAAATAACCTTAAGGTTAAATGACCTTATAGTAGGTTAATTGTTTATTTTTAGATTAATTTTAGTTTTCTCTTAACTTCCTTAAGTTAAATGGAGATTTAAATCATCTCAAAATTCTAGTGAGTCCTGGTAATAATTCAATGAGGAATAGTTTAATATTCAGTAATTTTTGTTTTACTTACAAACGTTTTGATTTGAATTTGAGTATAGTTTTAGTTTCAACACAATAGGTTTTTAAATATGTCAGAATATCGTTTTATATTTTACTGTATTAATAATATTGATGTATTAGAATTTTGATACTCGATTTGATAAATATTTGAGAAGCAATGAAAGTTAAACTATTTCTTAGACCCTATATAATTGTTAGTATTTCAATATAATTAAAATTTCAAGTATACTAAAAGAATTTTTAAATATTAATATGTTAATAATCGGCTACATGAAGTATATCATTGACTCAATTTTAAGTAAGTAATACATCATACAATCTTCCTCAAAAACCGTACATTTTTCAAAAAAGAATCCGTTATAATAGTATTGACATGATCTTTAAATAAAATTGCGACATCATTATCGATAGATGCGGATTTAAATACTTTTTTTAATTAAAAAAATTGTATAGGAGATCAAATGATTATGTCATCAGGTTTTTACTAGCAATTGAACAATTACATTTATGTTTTTTTCTTTCAATATTGCCTGAATTTTGTGTGAAAGGAATTGTGCACATTTATTAGTTTTTATTATTGAATGATGTTTGCAATTAATCACACGTAAGTATGTGTCAAACACGTTAACACATTTTCATAATCAAATTTATTTTGAACAATTTTAGATGCCTTAACAATGTTACTTGCATTGTCACTAATGAAAGCTATAAATTTTTCAATTATATTTATTTATTACTGTTATGATTTAGAAAAAATAAATTCTTTAAAATGACCGCCGCTTGTAATTTTTTTCCGTGATCTCTTTGAAATTTATCACATAATAAACCGCTAGTGTCGCTAACGTCGCTCTATGGAATTAATGTCAGACGAGCCAACAACAACAAAGCGATCAGACGTAATCGGAGTAATAATTTAATTTTTTGTTTTTGTCGATTTTCTCTAGTCTGCAGTCCGTTATGTGAACAATACTAAGTTAAGGAAAATCGATTAAATTATTTTAAATATTAACAACTTGTGCGCGCCCAGGTATATCCGACGCCTCATTAAACTTTTGAGAGCTGAATAATTGTCTGGGGAGCCGTTCGCAAAATGTCGAATGTCGCCAATACGTTCAAACATGATTACATAGGTGGTGGAAAATACCGTGTTGTACGAAGGCTCGGCAGTGGTTCGTTTGGCGAGATATTTCTCGGCCTTAATGTTATCAATGGGGAGGTGAATATTGTTTTGAACTTCAGTATTTTATCTTTTGAGAATGTTAATTTTTCAATTTGGTGGATTATAAAACGAGCCATCATTGATATAGATATAACGTGACTCATTACATGACTTCGTTGGTATTATTAACTTTAGTTAATAACATGTTATCAAAACTTAACTTTGATTACTGTTATGAGAGTTGTTGATTTTTAACTTCCTTTTAAACTAAATTTTTTTATTACAATTTCAAGTGAATAAATATAGAAATTCATTTTTATGTTGAAGTTTTTGATTCTAAAAAGAAAATTGTTAAAAGTTTAATTGTTATTTTAACTACAGTGAACATTAATTAATAATTGTTTTGTTGATTGCAATTGTGTCAAAATATTATTTTGTTTTCCAAAATTTCATAATAATTAATTTTTTAATAAATTTAATTAAAATTTAAATACTATTGTAAGTAATAAATAACATGATCTTAAATTCAATAAAGTAACTTAGAAACTCATTTAAAAATCATTCTTTTTATTTAATAGTATTACTATTACCGAGAAACAATAATTTTTAATATATTAAAAAAATTTTAATACTTTTAAAATCATATTATATAATTTATTTTTTTAGGAAGTGGCAATAAAATTTGAAAGTGCTAAAGCTCGTCATCCTCAACTTCAATATGAAAGCAGGTTGTATAAAGTATTACAAGGAGGAGTTGGAATACCTCATATGAGGTAAGTGTTGGAATGTCTTTTTATTTAAAATAAAGTTAATTTACATAATTATTAGATTTGACATACTTACAAATTTATTCAAAACATCTCAATTGTTTATTTAGATTATACCAAATTAAATATATTTTTAATACATTAAAACAAAAAAATATTGCCAATGTAATATTATCATCATTTTATTTACTTAATTACACTTTAAAATGTTTATCACAGAAAGAATATTTTGAGTATCTAGCTCACACAGCATAAATATATTTAATAAATATTTATAAAACATTTAAATTTAATGGAAAATATTGAATGAATATTAAAAATTGATTAATTTTTTTAATGTATATTAAATGTTTACTAAACATTAAATGAATCTAAATTAATATTAATTAACAGTTTTAGAATAAGAATAGAATAATATTTTATAAATATTAATAACCTTGATTAAGTATATGATTTACAAATGATAAATAATTATTTTTTTATTTTAACTTACTTTTAAAAAATACTTTAGAATTACCCTGTTTTTACACCAACATAGTTTAAAATATTAAATATTTTATAGAAATTTAAAATTATTATCACTATAGGCTGACAACTAATATTTTTCACCTTAAAGTTTTCTACAAAATACACCTTAATTGTTCACCAAAATTAACTAAATACTAATCACTCTAAGTCATATTAGGTGCATATAATTCAAGGGAAGTCATTGACTATATTAATATTAGTAATTTGGTATATTAATGATGCAGTTATAGTATTATGATGTTCTTCATTAACTTTGTATAATAAAATCATTGTGTGTTCTTTTAGTAAATTTAGTTTCTGAAAAACAAACTATTTTGAAAAATAGATACCTTCTATATTAGATTTAGTACAGGAAAGTAACTACTATATGATTTACATTTCAAAACTCTTAGCAGGTTTCTTATAACAAAATCCATTAATTATAATGTGTGTCGTTTGCCTAAATTTATAAATAAACCACTAAGAGATAAATCTTTAACTTTATTCATAAAGCTTTGCAAAAATAAATTGTTATGTGGTTTATTGTGTATAGTATTAATATAAACTAATTAAAAATATTAATGAAAATAAATATCTTAACACAACTCAGTATAGGCCGAAATGAATTGAATGAACTTTTTTTAAAAGGTAATCAATTAATACCTACCAGGAAATTGATTGTTTTATCATAGAATTGAACTTAGTTAAATAATTTTATATCACCAGATAGTTAACTTGAATAATTATCGTTTTACACATTTATAGATCTCTGTATTTCAAGTACTTTTGTAGTTATCGAACAAGTTTTAAATCTGTTAAACAAAAAATAAACTTTTGTTTTATATTTTTCAAATGATATTGCATAGTAATACTACTAGCTATCTACATAGGAACCCACCCTAATAAAAATAGCAAACTAACTAGGTGCTAGTTAACTTAAACATGAGTATACTGATATCTAATGTATTACATACTTGTACATGACCTTGTTTATTTCATTTCTATCAATAAAGTCTCACACAAAATAATGACTTTATTGTTGACATAACAGACATAAATCCAAACTGGTTTTTAGATATCAATGTCTCATATATTATTCTCTTATCTATTACTTTTTCCCAAATTTTCATACTATAACTCATAAGCGTTATGCCTCTATAATTTCCAAACTCCTGTATGTCTTCTTTACCTTTAAATACCGACCTTACCTACCGCACACTTGGCTTATTTACACAAGTATTTTTACTCCATCCAATCTTCTCTCATTTTGTTTTTTGCCATACTTTGAATTAATTTTTCTTACTTTCTATGATTTTCTGAATATCCTCATCTCACCACCCGGCTTCCTTGTTTCCTGGTATTTTACTTGTACTCGCACCAACAATCTCTTTTGTAGTATTCTTTACACAACTAGCAATTCTATTCCACACATAATTGATGTCTTCCTCTACATTCCACTCCGTTCTCTCTTTTACTATCTTTAAAAACTTTTTCCCCTTTCAATTTCCACCACCAGATCCTTGATTCTTTTCCTGTATTCTTTGTGTTTTTGTATCCTTTCTTCCCACTACACCATAACTCCATTACATTTAGTCTAGGTGACATTCTTGCCTGGAATAACTTGACAATCTTTTACTCACTTTACACTTTCTCTATTCTACAAAATAATTTTAATTGAAAAATGCTGTGTAAGATAATTAAATGAACGTATCAGCCAAAATTGGAATTTTTTAATTAGTAGTTTATTTTAATCATATATTAAATATTGTTTAATGTGAAAATGGTGTACTATTAATGATTTTGGAATATATATTTTAGCTTCAATGCGAAGCTGAGAAGGTATTAATTTTACCATGATGTGTCTTTTTTTTTTTTTTTGTTATGTCTGTTGCCATTTTTTCTCAGCTCTCACTGGACCAATTTCTTTCAACAATACGTCAAAAGATCACAAATCGTATCTAGTTGAAGACATTATCCTTAAAAATTGAAAAATTTTATCTCGTTCCCCGCAAATGGGAGAAATATCCAAAAAAATTACAAATTTAAAAATCGGTAAATTTTGTCATTTTTTTTTCACTTTTTTTTCTTAAAACTTCCATAACTTTTTCAAAAATAAACAAATCAACATAATTTTTTTTTATACTAAAACCTTAGATATTTCCCTTTTATTTGATATAATTTTTTTGAAAATCTAACACTTAACCTGTTCATTGGGGGGGATTTAAAATAGCAACTTTTTTACAAAAACTAACTTTTTCAACTTAATTTTTGAAAATGTTCCGGAAATACTGCGTCCTTTAAACATATATCAAATTAAAGCTTCTTTTATGTACTATAAAATGAAAAAAAAAATTTGTCCCGACGACCTATCTTCTATGCGCAAATGGCTACCGTATTCAAAAATATGCTATTGTTCTATTAAAATTCTAGGTTTTGTATTTTATTTTATTTTAAAATATCTTATTACGAGAATACATGGTGAAAATAGCTACCGTATTTAAAAATATGCTATTATTGTGTTAAAATTCTTGATTTTGTATTTTATTTTATTATAAGAAGATTACACTGATTTTCATAAATATTATATCAATCTAAATGACATAGTATAAAAAATTAATCATATTTAATTTTTTTTGTTTCTTTGAAGTCAAGAAAATTAACTTTAAAATTTGAACTAGCTAAATTTCCATTTTTATTAAATTACGAATGCGACGTACGGTTTTTGAGACCGTAACACTTGGGTCTTTCTCAACTGTGTCACTGAATTTTTTCTCAATTCTTTTTGAGTTAGAAAAAAATGTTTAACTCATTTGATTTTTATCTCATTTAGATTCAATAACTTCAATAATTATCAAGGATTCCATTACTGTAGTCTCCTCTCGTTAGAAGAAATTCATATTAATATTATTTTACTATGTGGTTTTTTTTTTGTAGCTATCATTTATTTTCTCAGCTCTCATTTGACCTACTTTTTTGACAAATTTTTTTTTTTTTAATTAAACACTATTTACAGATTTGCATCAAAGCGTTTTTATGATAGTGATTTTAATCACTATCAGATATCATCTATACTGGACCCAACTATGCCACGACCCCACTGTGCTGTGTTGTTTTTAATTAAAATAGTAAAATTTCCAACTCTTACCAAAATGTTTTGTTGAGATGGTAGAAATTTTTAGTAAAATAATTATAAAGTACTAAATCCTTAATACAAATATCTCATAATATCATATTCAATTTTTTTGTATAACTTTTTTGTTGTGTATGTTGATGTATAGATTTAATAAAGTACTTCTTTGGAATTAATTTATTAGATTTGGCTTTAAAGGTACTAAAAATGTAGAGTTTACTATATTTTTTAGTCCTAGTTAACATATATTTATGTTTATGTATTGATTCAATCTTATATTGTTATCAAAAATATAATTTTAGAACTAAATAGTCAGCTATAATTAATTTTTATAATTTTATAGTTCAAATAATTATTTTTTATAAAGTTTGATTGGGTGAGTTAAATTTTAGTTTACCTTAAGATTTTCAATTAAAATTCGAAAATATTGACCTGTAGATTTTATATTTTTATTTAATAAAAAAAAAATTAATACTAGTGCTGAAGTTTATAACAGTGTGATATATAGAACTAGGAACTATATCAATTTATACATTTTGTTTAAGTTTTTTTAAAGGTCTCAAGCTTGTTTTTTTTTTTTTTTTTTTTGTAAAATTATATAGTAGCATAGAAATATATTTCGTTTTAGGCGGAATAAACCTTATAAAACTATAATCTCAGTGACAGAATTTTTTTTTCGCTTTTTATACCCATTAAGAGTTAGAGCGGCTTAACCTATAGGAGAAAATTCCTAGCTTTTGATACTTCGGGAAAGGTTAGTCTGTCGCCGGAGAGAGAAGTAGCGATTTCAATTACCGAACTGATCTCTCGCTCAGCAAATAAATGCACCCGTGCTCGAGTTTCGAACTGATTACCGATTTGGTCGTATCATCCCTTTAACAGAGTCAGTACGGTGCATAGTAATACTACTAGCCATCTACATAGGAACTCACCCTAATAAAAATAGTAAACTTACTAGGTGCTAGGATACATTATCTCTATAATGGATCTATGTAAAGTCTATTAGATAGACTTTACATAGATCCATTTACATCATTTTTTGGAAAAAAAATACATTTTTTAAAATTTTATTTCTGCGTGTATGTATATATCTTTTTTTCTAGGCCTTTATTCCGACTACTTTGGGTTCGTCCACCCTTAACCTAAGGGTTATTAATATATATTATTTGTATTATGTATAATTCAATTGTTAGATAACTATAATCTACTTAATTGGTATTTACATTATATTTTGTTAAATAGTTTATAATAATTATTAAAATCTTTTTTTTTTCCTCGCCTTAATCCCACTACTTTGGGTCGGCCACTCTTATCCTAAACTTCAACTTGACATGGTCTCCCACATCATCTACGCTCACATCACCCATTTTTATATCGCATTTAACAACATCTGTCCATCTCTTTTTTGGTCTTCATTTACCTCTTTTTTCTTTAACATTCATTTCTACAACTGTTCTTACAGCATCCGATTCCTCTCTCCTCATAACATGACCAAACCATCTATGTCTATTTTCTTTCATCTATATATTCACAATTGACGCTACACCTATACTCCCTCTTATATGTTCGTTCTTTATCCTATCTTTTCTAGTCACTCCACTTATCCATCTAAGCGTTCTCAACTATGCTACATTTATTCTCTGTTTTTCTTACTTGTCAACCGCCCAACACTCTGAACCATACAACATAGCTGGTCTCACTACAGTCTTATAGAACTTCCCTTTCAGTCTCAGTGGAATTGTCTTATTACATAACACACCAGACGCACCTTTCCACTTAACCCACCCGAATTTAATCCTGTGTCTTACATTCTCGTCAATATCTCTGTTTTTCTTGTACAACTGATCCTAAATACTTAAAAATTTCCACATCTCCAATCACGTCCTCGCCTATTGTCACTGGTCTCCTCATTCCACCTACCTTGTGTTCTTCTTTATCAAACTCGTACTCTATATACTCTGTCTTACTACTATTTATTCTTAATCCTATTCCTTAAATAGCTGATCGCCACACCACTAGCGTATGATTAATTTTCTCTTCTAGTAACACTATATCGTCAGCGAACAACATGCACCATGGTACTTTACCTAGTATTTCTCTAGTTATTTCACCCATCACTATAAAAATTAAGTAAGGGATTAAAGCAGAACCTTAGTGTACTCCTTCTAGAATAGTAACAGATTATTACTAGGTTTTCAAATCATTAATAAAAATTTGTACTAGTTGATGATATATTCAGAATATATTTAAAAGCATATTATTTCAAACCCTAGCAATGTGATTTAAAAGTCCCTGTTCAAATTTATAAATGCAGGATCTAAATTCAATTAGGTAACTATAGAATACTTATCACTCATCAACGTGAGAGGCTTTAAAATTGTGGAAAATAGAAGCTAGACTTTATATCAACTTTCAAAATTTGGCTTTGAATGGCGGCGTAACCAAGACAGTATCATATCTTTTCCTTATCCTATGTTTATTTTAAGTTTTAAGAAAAAGTTAATTTAGGTTAACAACATTTAAATACCAAATTTAGGTTTATTTTTATATATTTAATTTGGAAATGCACTTGTGACAGTTTAAATTATAGTAAAAGATATACAAGAATTATATTTGTGTATAAGTTTCTAGATTTTTTACGATGTTTTTACTTTCATTTATCGCCACTCAATTGTTGAAATATATGAATCTTGCGTATATTTTACGTAACAAATCTCTAATAAAACATGAAAATTTATATTAAAATTGACATGTTTATTAATTTTTCCGTTTCTAAACTATGAAATTTATTAGTTATGCATACATGTGTGTTGGAAATAATTTTTTAACTAGGTCCAATAGATCAAACTAACAAATTCTATAACTTTTACTCGACAGTATTATTATTTTATATTTTGACGATTGTGCTTTAGTCTATATTAAGAAAATACCTTTTATTATAATTCTCCATTTTTAATTAGATAATAAAAAGATCTGTTCAACATTTTTTTTTTTAAATTAACAGTTTGGCAGAGGTTCTAATATTTAGATTGGGGTTAAGTGGCATAAACGAAATATGAACTTAATCACATTATTAATATTATTTTCAAAAGTTGTAAGTATAAAATTGCTTCTTAATTAATCTTATAATTATTATTAAAATGCAATTAATTATGCACGAACTAAAAATAACAATAAATAATTTAATGGTAATAGTTTTTTTTGTTTTCCAATTAAATAATAGCTGAAGAGCAAATTTTTTAAGTTATATTCTGTAATAATAATATATTGGATGAAATTATTACTTAGTACCATGACGATACATTTCTCTGGTGAATCTGACAACATACAAATAATCCTTGGTGTTGCGCTGACTTCGAGTATCTGGCAACATGGTAAAAGCCATTAAACTATAGACCTATTGTTTTCATTAGAAGCTTGTCAGCTGCTTGCTCTTTACTCCACGACCACGAGTTCCGTATATTTAATATGTTTGTTATTATGATTTATGTTATCTGTTTATGGATTATTCTAGGAATAACTGAATTTATAATATTTTGTGATATTTGGATAGAAGGTTAATATACGATTTATTCAAGAATTGGTTAAAAAATATGTAATATGTACAACACTTGTTGTTTTAATGTTAATTTTTTAAATGGTACTATTACGAAAATTGTATTATCGCTGAAACTAATGAAAGTTTTGAATTTTTTTTAATGCTCGAACAGTTCATTCATTCAGTCTAGACAAATACATTTAATTTGTACAACGTACTATTAAAAGTAACATCACACTTCTAAAATTCCAGGGTGCATTTTAGAGATTAGTTCAGATTGGCTTTTTTATGTCAATTGTGATAATTGATTACCCATGGAATAATGCTATAAAAATTTATGGAGCTGTATTAATTTTTTATATTTCTCGATATAGGAACCTTTTATTTGCTCTCAACTTTGTTTTTATCAAAAAAAAATACCACAAGCCTGTCATTTGCATTAGATAAAATTAAATCACCCCTGGAAGAGTACTAAATACACCTCGAAAAAAAATGTTTGAGGAAAAATTTGCAAATTATGCAATTAAATCAAAACTAAGTTGACAGTTATAAACAAGGATTTCCAAATTGAATAACATAATAATATAAACTTAACACCTTAAATTCTATTTTTTTTTAATGTTTTAAAATTATTATAAAATAACTTAAAAACTTACAAAATTAATATTTTAATTAAAATTAATGTTTTATTATATTTTCTCTATCGAATTAATCTATTTAATATTCAAGTTTTAATTTAATTTATTATTTTTAATTTTTATTGTGTGAACGTGTTTTGGATAAAAGATGCTATTAAATAAAATGGAATATTTTTATAGATATATATTTAAGCCTGGATTAAGACATTTAGAGACTCGGATTATAAATCTAATATTGAATAAGGCGGTTTCATTACCTTTGGCGCCATTTAAGTTTTAAATTTTATGTTATATTTAAAAAAAAAAAAGGTTAAAATTAATTTAGACATAAAGGCATTAAAGTTTTAAATGTAAAAAATTAATAAATCTTTTTTGTGTTCAATTTCGAAAATAAAAAATGAAATATTTTATTACAAAAAGTATCATTTTTCTTTGTGTATATATAAAAGACACATGATTAATTTAAGGTTGAATAGTCATTTAGGTCTTTTTTCAGTTTTTGATGACTAATAAAAATTAGGTAATTAGGTCAACTGACGATCATAGTTTATGTAATACTTTTATATACAGAGTGATCGGTTTATCATAAACCACTACATTATTTGCAAAATAAATATAATATTGGAAAAAAAATTATTGATTTCCTTTAATTACGTATACTACTTAATTTATCAGCTAATAATTACTTTTTAAAATCATCCCTTATAACCTAAAGAATTATCAACTTAATTTTTTTAAATAGCAACTCACATATTAGACTATCTTATAAAATGGAAAATAATATGATTAAGAAAATGACTGGTCAATTATAATTATTATATAATGTTATTATATTATCAAGAAATATACGTAACTAAAAGAAATCAAACAATTCTTTACAATATTGTATTTATTTTGAGAGTAATCGAGAGGTTTACGATAGATCGGTTTATAATAAAACTCGGTGTTTTACATGAGCTAATAGTTATGTTTAATTTTTAAAATGATAAATACGTTCAATTTACCGTTCAGGTAACTGGGTAAATTTAACTATCTACAGCAATAAACGTAGTTTTGCTTTGGAAAGTATCCGAATCAGTTTACACCAGTAAACTTATTATTCTTTTCTCCAAAGTACTATTTTTCCAACATGTCATTGGAGTTATACCCTTAAATGAATTTCACAAAAGAAAAATTACTCTTATATTAAGTTGTAGTCTCTTTATTTGAAAGCCAATTTTATTCACTGAATATTAGAAAAACTTGAATTTTTTGTTATAACAGAAAATAATTTAAGTTATTTCAATTAATATTAATCAATAACTCATTATACATTATTAAATTGTTTGATAAAATATTAAAATGACCCAGTAAATGGGGAAAGGCAAGTGCTCCTGTGCTCCCTATAAATACACTCCTGCTAGTTTTTATATCTTAATAGTATACATACTATAATTATAATAATGAATAATAATTTATTAAGACTGATATCTTCAATTTTAATTATGGAAAGCTAATGCCAAACTAAAAAAAATTATATTCCAACTAATATTTTTCACATTAGTTTCTTAAAAAATAAAAAAATTATACTCACTCTATTTTAATTATAATTACAGTTGCAGCTCTTTTATAATAAGTACACTATTATAGTGAAAAATTGTTAAATTGTCTAATTATATATTTTTATCTTAGGTGGTTTGGATTAGAAAGGAATTACAACATCTTAGTTATGGACTTGTTAGGGCCATCATTAGAAGATCTATTCAATTTCTGTTCTCGACGGTTTACCTTAAAAACTGTGCTTATGCTTGCTGATCAAATGATAAGCCGCATTGAATATGTACACTGTAAAAGCTTTATACATCGTGATATAAAACCAGACAATTTTCTTATGGGAATAGGTCGTCATTGCAATAAAGTAATTTTTTTTAAATATTTGTTATATTTAATGGTCATCTAAATTTTCAAAATTATTAAAATTAAAAAAAATTTTATAAGATAATGTAAAAAAAAAAAAGGTGAAAAGAGTATTTTGAAAAATTACTGAATGAGGAATATCCGAGAGAGATATTAGCAGATATCTCATGTTATGAAGAACTGGTAGATTTAATTTGTGAGAAAGAGATATGGAAGGCTGTGGTATCATTGAAAAAGAATAAAGCAGTAGAACCAGATGATGTGAAAGGAATTAAGAATAAGTAGGAGTAAACGTATCATTTAGAGTACAATTTGACAAAGGAGAACACGAGGTAGATGAAATTAGGAGATCAGTGACAATAAGCGAGGACATGATAGAAGTAGAGGAAGATAAAAGAAGGAAAAAATGGAGGAATGTTATTAAATGTGATATGATGACAGCTAATGTGGGAGATGTATCAAGTGGAAGTTTAGGATAAGAGTAGCCAATCTCATGTAGTTGGAATAAAAGCAAGGAAAAAGAAAAGTAAAATTAAAAAAAAATTAGCATATTTTCATTTTAATTTTTTTTTAACAGTTATTTTTGATTGATTTTGGTTTGGCAAAAAAATATCGAGACATGCGTACAAGAACACATATTTCATATCGTGAGGACAAAAATTTAACTGGAACAGCCCGATATGCTTCAATCAATGCTCATTTAGGAATTGAACAAAGGTATTAATTAACTTTTACTCTTTATTTACTATTAAATAATGATTAATTATTTATAGCCGTCGGGATGATATAGAATCTTTGGGATATGTACTTATGTATTTTAATAAGGGATGTTTGCCATGGCAAGGATTAAAGGTAAATTCCCTATGTTGTTCAATAATATAGATTTAACTAAATTCATTTATAATGTATATTTTAGAATGAAGTACTTTTATTTATAATATAAAATCAATCATAATTTTGTTTTTAGGCAGCAACAAAAAGGCAGAAGTATGAAAAAATTAGTGAGAAGAAAATGTCTACACCTGTAGAATTCCTTTGCAAGGTAACTAGTTACAACATTAAAAAAAATCAACAAAAAAATAATCCTTTTAAAAATGAAATGATAAAACAAAGTAACTAAAAAATAAAACCCTTTTTATATTGTTATTTTAAGCCCATTATGGGCCATAATGGCTCATCGTAAGAGTAAGTTTCTTAACTATTGATACTTTGGGACAGGTGTCGCCAAAGAGAGATGGCAGCGACTAATTATCGCTCAGCAAATAAAGTAATCTGTGATTGAGTTTTAATCTCGAGGCAGTATGCATAAGCACTGCCGCATTACTGACTCAGCCCTTTATAAAACACTTTAAAAACTAGTAATTTGTACTTTTATGTATGCTCTAGTGTATATGATATTCAAAATAATTTTAAAATAAAATGTGAGCAATTTTAAATTTTATTAAATGGTAGCGGTGGCAAATATTGGTCTTAACTTTGTGCTTATATCATTAAAAAAATTTTTGGCTGTCGCATTCATTAAAGTCATTATTAACATTAGATTTGTATAAAAATAAAATATTTTTATTACTGCCTTTTTTTTTTATTTAGTTATGTGGATGAATAATATAGTATTATTGTTTTTTTTATATATTTATATTACACATTATATTATTTTAGGGACTGCCAGCAGAATTTGCCATGTTCCTAAATTATAGTCGAGGGTTAAGGTTTGAAGAGTCACCGGATTACATGTATTTGAGACAGCTGTTTCGTATTTTATTTAGAACATTGAATCATCAATATGATTACATATTTGACTGGACTATGCTTAAACAAAAAGAATATAATAATGATGGCCAAAGTGCTGCTGTACCTCAAGGAGGCTCACCTGTATCTGGTGCTGCTGCAGCTGGTGGACCACAACCATTTCCCCCTCAAACTCCAGCCACTCTAGGTAATTTATAAAACTAAATAAATATCAGCAGGAAAAAATTATGATCATTAAAAATATATATATATATATTCCATAAATTTAGTGTTAATAATTATTACATTGAATGAATTTTTATTAAAGTAATCGAGTTAAAATGAGTTCTTTAATTTATAATTTTATGCATCGTAATTTTTTATTGCAGTTTTTTTTTATTTCAAAAAATTATTTAGTCAAAAAAAAATTGTTAAAAATTGTTTTAATATTTTTTAGCTTCTGCAAACCAGGCGAGCAAGAATTGAGCCTTCATGTACTTTAATTTTAGTTTTGAATATATAAATTTAATAAATAATTTGCAATATTGCAAATAATTAAATTGATGTCATCTCTGAAATTCTATTTTGTTTTCAATTTTCTAAATTGTGCACAATTATATACAATATCATATATATTTATGTATGTATGTAAATACTTGCATAAAAACTCACTTGAAGTGTATTTTTTTTATATTTTAGCGTATTACATCATAATGTACAATAATTTTTGTTTCAGGTAATCGCTAAAATAATAAAAAAAATTATTGGCGGATCCTTTTACCTATCCTCTTTCCTTAATTTGATACATGGTTTACTATTATTTTATTCTGTTGTTATCATTTTCAATATGAAAAATAATGTGAATCGCTATCCTTTTAATTAGCTACTAAGTGGCCAAAGCTGGTATAATCCCTTTTTTTTAATTCCTCTTATTGACTTTTATTATGGAACCAACTATTTTGAAAAATACACTCTCTTGTATGTATTATTAATTCAAAAAAGCTGTACCTTCATCATAATAATAACTATATATTATCTTTTTTTTTTTTTTATTGCAAAGTTAAATATTAGGTAATATAAAAAAACTTACTCTTAAATTTAAATAATTATATATAGATAAATGTCATTTATGTATTAAAGAAAAAAGAATAAACCATAACTCTTTTTATTATTATTTTTATTACTATAATTATGTTAAGCTAAATTTAATGTTTTCTACATTTATCCTAATTATTGTTTTCTATATACCTTTATTATATTAATTAGTTATAAGATGTAAAAAGAGTAAAAGATCTAGGAATTACCTTTGTAAAGAATTTCCAACACTAATAATAAAAACTGCTTGAGTAAAATATATGTATTTGTCATCAACAAAATCATTTTAATAATATAAAACAAATATTGATCAAATTTGTGTAATGTTGAATTCATACATTCAGTCATATAAGTGTTGTGACAGTGATAATTTACAAATATTAACTACCATAGTTATTTGTTATTTATAATATATGATGTATTATTGTTTTAAAGGTTTAGTAGTCAAATGGGGCAGTGGTTAAACTTGAGGCACTTAAATATCTTGTATAATTTTAATATTCAGCACTAAAAAATGTTTTACAAGTATCCTTGAAAAACAATATATTTGTTGACAAAAATTAAGTGATAAAATCTATAAAAATTTAACCACTTCTGAAACAAGTTAATCCATTTAAAAGTATTCTAAATAATATGTTTATATTTAAGATTTTTACAAGTATAAATACAAAATTAAATGCTGTAGAGCAGCTTTTACCAAAAACTTTCACTGTAACTAAATAAATTTTATTTATTACTATTTGATTACTAATTGTAAAGAAACAAAAATATAGTCTCAAAATTTGTTTTTCACTCAATTTTGGTTTCCTATTTCAAGGCCTTCATACTCTATAATAAGTATTTTTGGAGCTTGTAAATTAAAATATATTCATTATTTAAGAATGTTATAAATAAATAGGTAACAATGAAAAACTAAATTTTTATAATTTATTTCTAACAAGTAACACAAAAATAAAATAAATACATTTACTGTGATAATGAGAAGGAAACTTAATACATCATAATATAGGTATAATTATTTAAATCAACATTACTTTAACGGATTAGGTATATTGAACATGAGCTTAATGGTCTCATTAAATTGGTATTTATCTACAAAGTAAAACATACATATTACAATTTTTTTTTTAATTTTTGAAACAATAAAAATGTACATTAAATTCCGCAAAAAAATTCTATTGAATAAACAAATTAAGAATAATTAGAGCTGTATCCATTCTATCAATTGTGTGCTGATGTTTCAAGCTAATTGCGTAATGTCAGCATAAAAATGAAGACATGTATACAACTGTAAATATTCTAAATAAACTTCAGATTAATTGAATTAATTTTTTCAAATGGTTATAATAAAAATCTTAATAGAAAATTGTGACTAATTTTAGCCAACATACCAAAATCATTAGTAATTGATGATGGTAAATTAAAGTATGCATCTCCATTTACTGTTCCTTTGTCTTGAAAAAAACCATGTATTTCTAACCATCCATCAACATAACTATCAATAGGTTCATGAAAATTAACTATTACTGATTGATCATCAGTTGTTTGTATTGTAATTGATGTACTATCAGAATTAATCTAAATAATTGATTAAATTATAAGAATAAACTTAACAGACACCACTTGCCTGAATTAAGGGTATTGACAAGGTTTACATTTTATTTTTAATTGATAATAAAAAAAACGTCACTTTGTGTTCCAGGTCTGAATGTTCATCAAAATTTCCCTATTCTCAATGCAGGGCTGAAAAGTGTTAATGCTACTCTAGGTGTGTAGTATTATAAAGCATGTAATGTGTAAAATTTTATGCCAACTCACAAATTGAATATGTTTGAAAAACATTACAATATTTTCGAATTGTGTAATAATGGTTATGATTACCATCTTATATTTAACCTATATATAATTATTTTTTATAGAAACAACCCAACAGCAAATAATTTTTTTTAAGTTGCTGATTAAAAAACAATAAAATAATTTTACTATTATAGATGTTGGTAGAAATGTCAGTTATATACCTATTCTTTTATATTAAAGAAAACAGATTAATTGCTTACCTTTTTAACAAAACCAATTAATGCAACTGGCTTACCAATTGATTTTTGTAAATATGAACTATTAACAAATATTCGAGTAGATAATATTGTGGATTCCACTGCGAAAAAAAAATGAAGTTTTATTAGTTCTGAAAAAATTGTCCTAAACACTTTTAACCCGACTGATTAGTTTGAAAACTCAAAATATAATTTTCAAATATTTAAATTACTCACTTGTAAGGTTTTAATTCGTATTCATTTATCAGATTTTATATATTTTTACAATTGATCCAATAACTAGATAAAACAATTAAAGAAGTATTATAAAATTTATTTGTTGGGAAGTTTCCATTACATTACTTGTGTAGAAAACCAAAAATTGTTTTATCACAGCGTAATTATTTTTATTCGTTAATATAATATATAAAATTTAAATATGGAATCATACTGGTTAACTAGATAATGTAGATAAGTACATATATTTATAATTAGTCTAATTTTATCAATTTTCAGTGATTCAGCACAGATAGCTTCCGATTTTTGTAAATAATACTTCAATTTTAAATAACATTACCAAATTTCTTATTAATTATATGTTTAAGTTTAACGCATATAAAAAAATCTGCTAGTATTTTAGCTAAACATTTAAGACTATTAAAATAAGGTATAAAATATTGAAAATCAAATGGAATTGGTATAAAATTTTAAAATATATTTGAATTTATACAAAATATTAAACTAACAGAAATAGATTAACGAGTATGAAGTAAGCAATTTCTTATCAATTTAAAAATGCGGTAACAACTTGGTTACCAGATACACGCTACTAATCAATGCCGCTATAATAATCTACAAATGTCATAAAACAATTTGTTCAATATAAACTGTTGCAAAAACAAATGTGTAAAAGTACAGGTTTATCATGGAACAGGTTATTAAAATGTCATTTACTATTAAAATAAAACCTCAAACATATTATTAATTTTAAAATATATGTTCTCATTAAAAAAAAACAAAGTTGACACTCTTACAAGACATAAGGGATGAACTTTAAAAGTATTAAATAGCTAATAATTTAAGAATAATGTGTAACTTAAGGTACTCCAAAAAAAAATGTTTTAATTATTTTTAATCTGTAGTAATTGATTGGGTTATGATAAAAAAAACACTCTGTATAATAGTTATAAATTCAAAACCAATATTTATATTAAAAAAAACCCAGCACAGTGGGGTCGTGGCATAGTTGGGTCCAGTATAGATGATATCTGACAGTGATTAAAATCACTATCACAAAAAGCGCTTCGATGCAAATCTGTAGATAGTGTTTAATTTAAAAAAAAAAAATTTGTCAAAAAAGTAGGTCAAATGAGAGCTGAGAAAATAAATGATAGCTACAAAAAAAAAACCACATAGTAAAATAATATTCATATGAATTTCTTCTCACGAGAGGAGACTACAGTAATGGGATCCTTGATAATTATTGAATCTAAATGAGATAAAAATTAAATGAGTTAAACATTTTTTTTTAACTCAAAAAAAATTTAAAAAAAATTCAGTGCCACAGTCGTGAAAGACCCAAGTGTTACCGTCTCAGAAACCGTACGTCGCATTCGTCACTTAATAAAAATGGAAATTTAGCTAGTTTAAATTTCAAAGTTATCTTTCTCGACTTCAAAGAAATAAAAAAATTTAAATATGTTTAACTTTTTATACTATGTCAATTAGATTGATATAATATTTATGAAAATCAGTGCAATCCCCTTATAATAAAATAAAATACAAAAACAAGAATTTTAACACAAAAATAACATATTTTTGAAAACGGTAGCTATTTTCATCATGAAAACAAAATAAAGTCCGAATTTTTTTTTTTTTATATTAAAGTATATTACATAAGCTTTAATTTAAGATATATATATATAAAAGTGTCAGTAATTCCGGAACAGTTTCAAAAATTAAGATGAAAAATTCTACTTTCTATATGCATTTTAAAGATCTGAACCCCCCCTGTATTAAGGGNATTTTTATGTTTTGAATCCCCCCTGTATTAAGGGAAATGGTCCGATTTAAAAAAAAAAGTATGTCGAATGAAAGAAGTATATAAATATTATTTCTTATAAAAAAATTGTATTGATCCATACATCTTTCAACAAGTTATAACATTTTAAAATTAAAAACTTAGCACAGGGGGGTCGTGACACAGTGGTGACGTGGCATAGTTGGATCAAGTATAATGATATCTGACAGTGATTAAAATCACTATAAAAAAAAAACGGCTTCGATGCAAATCTTTAGATAGTGTTTAATTTTAAAAAATTGATGGATTATTCCAAAAGCTACATGATCTGCTAGTTCATTATTAATATCCTAATTAAGATAAAGTATGTCGAATGAAAAAGGGATTATTAAAAAATATTATTTCTCATAAAAAAATAATGTTGATCCATACACTTTTCAATATGTCATAGCATTATAAAATTAAAAATGTAAAATACAAAATCGAATATTTTCACACAAAAATAGCATTCGGTAGCCATTTTCACCGTGAAGATAAAATAAAGTCCGAAATTTTTTTTTGCATAATAAAGTAAATTACATTAGCTTTAATTTACGATAAATATAAAAGTGTTAGACTTTCCGGAACACTTTCAAAATTTAAGTTGAAAAAGTAAATTTTTTGTAAAAAANCAAAATTTAAGTTAAAAAAATTAATTTTTTGTGAAAAAGTTGTCATTTTAAATCCCCCCCTGTGGGCAGGTTAAGGGTTAAATTTATGAAAAAAATATACCAAATGAAAGGTAATGATATTATTTAGGGTCACATATAAAAAAAATTATATCGATATGTTCATTTTTAAAAAAGTTATGGCAGTTTTTAGTAAAAAAAATTGAAAAAATTTTGAAAATTAGTGATTTTTAAATTTGAAATTTTTTTGGAGGTTTCCCCTATTTACGGGGACTGAGGGATCTTTTTTAAATTTTTGAGGGTAATGTCTTCGACTAGATACGATTTGTTATCTTTTGACGTATCATTGAAAGAAATCGGTTCGGTGAGAGCTGAGAAAAAGTGGTAAAAGACACAAAAAAAAACACATCATATAATTATATATAATATATTTATATGTAACAGTGGCGTATATTGAAATTTATAATAGAAAGGACAAAAAAAAATTATATTTAAGGTACCAATAAACAATTTTTTTTTTTGCTCATAACTTTTGTTAACACATATTTTAGATTTTTTTTTTTCAAAAAAATCCGTTATGTTTCGAATCCATTTTTATTAATAAAAATATTTCTTTTACAATCCGTGTGTACCTCTATGCAGTGAACACTTCAAAAATAGGTGATAATGTTAACGGGAAAATTGTGCGTGGCGTCAAACTTTGTTTCACAAGACAACTATATCGACTGACAGTTGATAAACCCATGTTATCATTAATAATAAAAAAATAACTTTTTCCAGTGATATTATTCATTATAACATTATAAAATTTACATGGCTCAGTCAACCTATGTCAAACCCAATCTGGTAAAAATCCGTTTTGATTTTTCTAAAATATTATTCTGCAGACGACTGTTTCGAAGACTAAATCGTATCATTTATTTAAATTATATCTATTTTGTGAATTTCTGATTATATGTAAAATTAATTTAAAAGATAGTAAAATAATAGGAATAAAAAAAAATGTTAAAGTAGTTTCAGATATACAATTACCACAGACTATATGAAATAATAGTATAGTTTTCAATTAGTATGTGTTATTTCTAATACTATTACCACAATCACGTTTATAATTGTATGTAAACTATCCTTTAAACCGTTTGTTTTGTCACTTCAAATTTTTGTTATCATTGTTTGTAATAATGATAAAGTTGTATCAAATTCTTTTATCATAATATGGTAGTAATTATTTGTTAAAATGTTATCAAATAAAATTGTGCATTGTACTGTATCTGTATTAATTACGAACAATTCAATATTAAAAAAAAAGTGCTATTTAATTTGAATATTATTATTGTGTTGTTCATATTTTTAATGAAAAATGGGTAAAAAACAAGTAGCTCAAAGGGTGAAGAACAATTATAAAGTAATAAATTTTACATTTAACTATCTTTTAATAATATTAATTATTTTTCATTAAATTATTTAAAGCCTTCAAGTAGTGCTAGAGCGCAGTTATTATTGAACTCAGCAGATTCTTCTACTCTAGACATACTTAAGTTTCCATTTTCTGAATTATTAGATTGCAATATCAGTCCTGATTTTCAAGTGGTATTAAAAAAAATGAACAAAAAAGATTCTACCACTAAACTTAAAGTATATCTATTCCAAAGTATTTTTTAGTACTCCACTATAATAAATTCTACAGTTTTTGTTTATCTTGTAGGCCTTGAAAGAATTTGCTGTCCTATGTGATACTAAAGATGAAGAAAGTATTAAAGAAGTATCTGCTCCATGGTTAAGTCATTATATAAATTTATGTAAAGACAATGAACCAAGAATAAGGGAAGGTGCTCAAAAAGCCTTAAAATCTTATTTGAGCCGTATTAATCGTAATGTAGCACCCTTTCTTAAAAAATTTTTTGCTTATTGGTTTGTTGCGCAGTTTGATACACACCCACCAACTGCATCTGTTGCAATATCTGTTTTTGAGGTATTTATTTTTACTTATGTTTATTATAGTATTATATTTGTCAATATTATAATANTATCTGTTTTTGAGGTATTTATTTTTACTTATGTTTATTATAGTAATAATTTTTACTAACAATTTTTTAACAACATGGATTAATTTATATATTTTTATTAGCAAGACTGATTAACTTAATTTCATTGAATTGGTTTGTTTTAATCATTAAGATTTTGTGTAGAAATTTGAACTACTGTTTGAATTACTGAGTGATACTGATATTATGATCCAAAAATTTATAAACAAATTGTATTAGTATAAATTTGTTGTCTATTATTTCTTTCAGTCTTATAATTCAAAAGTTTAAATTGTTATTTTTTTAATATTTATTACAAATAAAAATGAAGTAGATGTAAACAATTATGAAGAAATGTGTTGTAATGATTTCATATGCTTACAACAATAATATTAAACTATTAGTAGCTGTATAATTTCAAATATTCAAAATTGAGCAATTAACCTTAATAAAAAGGTTCTTATTTATGAAATTTCATACATAAAACTGTACCTTTTTGTTACAGTTCTTATATTAAATATTAATGTAAATTATAATTTAGATATTTTTTATTTTATATCAGTAGGATATAGAAATTATTATTATTATTATTATAAATATTAATTATTTATCTATAATTTTTCATAATTACAGAGTACATTTCCTTTAAATAAAAGATCTGAAGTAATAGTATTTTGTCAAAAAGAAATATATAATTATTTAGTTGAACATATAACAAATCCAGTTTTATTGAATTCAAAGTATATTTTATTTTTATTAATATGTTTTACATAGATTAAACTATATTAAATAATTAATACAATTATTTTACATTTAAGGGTAGACTCGGAAGAAATCAAAGAAATGCAAATAAGAACTGCCACGAGTTGTCTTTATGCAACATCAACATATTTAAATGCACTTCCTAAAGAACAAATTGAAAACATTGAATGTGATTTGAAATCTTCATTTCTTAGGAATTGCACTTTTTGGAAACTTAATAAACATCTTACTCCTAGTGTATGGTTCAAATAATCTAAAATTTACTATTTTTTTTAAAACATTTTTTATTTATAAAAAAAATTTTAAATTAGGTTCGGCAAGCTTGGTTTACATTGTTGTATTCAATACTTGATAAATTACAGTATTTTCTTCAAGATGAGTATAAAAAAGTTGCTTTTGCAGTTTTTGATAATGTTGATGAGGATAATGTAACAGTTTCATTAATGATTTGGAAAAATATTCAACTTATTTTTTCTAAGCCTGAAGTAATAATTGTTGAATGAAAATAATTAAATTTTCTATTTTAATATTTTCTTATAGTTAAATATTTATTGGATACGTTCAAATGCCGAAAAAATTTTTCTTCCTAAGTTATGGAAGGTTTTGTCCTGCTCTAAAGGATGCATATCTTCAGCCTATGCAAATATTTTAAATATGTGTAAAAATAATCCTTCAATAACTACCATACCCATGACAGAATTTTATTTGAAATGCATCACATCAATGATTTCAGGGTAAGATTGATTATTAGAAAGATAAAATCAATTACATTAGTGATGACATTAGCTCTTATTTTAACTTCAAATTAGATTATTCTTTCAATTAATAACTTATTAGTTAAATAAATAAACTAACATAAACATTATTTGATTTTTAATGAATATTATTGAACTTATAGGTTAGAAAAAATGTCTGCTAGATTTGATCGTACAAACTTTGTAGCTGGTGTTGAAACTCTTTTTGACTATGTAATACATTATTTAAGAAATAATTATCAAGAAAAATTATTTTGCGAATGTATTATAACTGAAGTAAGAGTTACACTTACATTAGTTTTGTAAGTTAGAAATTTCTATGAAAAAAGGAAATTTATGAAATCAGTAATAAAATTGATTACGAGATAAAAAATAGTTTTTTGATAATGTTTGGCATTAGTCAAAATTAGAATCAGAATATATGTGTGTCTAAAAAGTTTAAATTTAAAATTTAATCCGAACATTTTTTTGAAGTATCTATTAAATTATGTTATTGAAATAAATAAAATATGAAAAAATATTTATTTTTTACTAATAATACTTTTTGGATTAATATGTAAAAATTTACTTAAAATAGATTCTACTGACAAAATTAGGACTACTTATTAAGAATTAGCACCTATATTTTTTGAGAGTTATATTTAATTAGCTTATAAAATAAAAAATGATCAAATTTTAAAAATCCTTGATCCAACTTTTAGACCAGTATTTTGAAAGTTATTATCATTTTAAAATGTATACAAAAAATAGACTATTGGTGAAATATAAGTTGTGATTATTTTTAAGTTATTAACATTTTTATACCTATGGGATAATAGGCCAAGAAATGTTCAATGATGATATATAGGTGTTCGGTTTATCATAAACCACTTGATTACTTGCAAAATAGGTACGATAATGGAAAAAATTTTGATTTCTTTTAATTACATATATTTTTTGATTTATCAGCTAATAATTACTTTTTAAGTTATTATCAATTTAATGTAAAGACTGGTAGTAAAGACTAGGTGCTTCTATTTTTATCACTAGTCATTGTTCAGCCGTATTAGGGAAAAAATGAGAATAACGCTTAAAGTACTAGTTCAAAAGTTGTTATCGACCAGTAATTTTCTTAATTAGACTATTTTCAATCTTATAATTTAGTTAAATATGTGTTACCATTTAAAAAAATTAAGTTGATATTCCTTTAAGCTATAATATTATATTTATTTTGAGAGTAATCAAGTAGTCTGTGATAAACCAAACACCTTATATATTTAAAATTTATTCACAATTATTTTAAATCAAATTTAAATATAATTAAATAAAGAAAATAAAACTTAAATATAAATGTAGAACTTTTTCATAATTTTTCAAACATTTTTTTGAAGTTTCACCAAAAAATATTGGGACTTAAAACCCTATAGAGTCAAATTTCTAGTTTTGGTTACATAATACACAACAATTAATAAAAACTTCCATCTATTTAACTCTTAAATCTTCAAATGGTGTATTTTTAAGTTAACCTGAAAAAATATACAACTATAAAAATAAAACGATATAAGACTATTTATTAAAAGTATTATAATATTTGTATATTATTTACTTATTTCAAGAATAAAAGTAGCAGCTGTTCAAAATTGACTTAATATAATTATTATATATTTGTCTAATTTTTTGAAATAATAGCTTTTAATATTATAGGTCATAAATCTGATAAAATTTTGTCTTACTGGAAAGCTAGCCAAAGCTATGACACCCCCTGTCATATCCCATTTAACATTACTTCTTGAAGTTTTGATAATTGATGATGCATTAACAAATTTAAAGCAAATTATATGGAATAGTCTCAAGAATCTCTTAATTACTGACCTAGATAAAGAAATTATTTTAGAGAATATACAAAATCAACTTCATGTGCATTTCATTGTACTTAGCCATTTGAAAAGTCCTGAAATAAAAATAAAAAAGAATCTTAAAGTTACATTTGAAGAATCAACTAAAGATACATACCAACCTGCAAAATTGTGTCTAAATGATAGTTATTATGATGATCTTGTCGATTTTTTAAGCACTCATTTATATTTTTATTTTGAAAAATCATCTAATACTGAATTTGGATATTTGTATGCCAATCATATTTGTCAAGTGGTATCTGCATTCAAGAATTTTGGTGTTATACAAAAATTAACAAACACATTGGTTATATTAAATAATCCAATAGATTCACCATTCAAAATTTATGAATGGTTTGTAAAAAAATGGTTGGGCAGTGAATATATAACAACCTATAATTTGTTATCTTTAGTTATTGTATTATTAGAAAATATAAAAAATTATAATGAGCAAGCTGTTATTATAGATGATGTGACTATTAAGGTAAAATAATTTTATTTGAACATAAAGTTGTTAATAAGATATTTCATTATTATTACTTTTTTTTATTAGTTTGGTTCAAATGTTGTACTAGAAGAAATAATGAGATATATAAGTGATGGTCATTCATTACCTGAAGTGATTTGTAAATGGTTAGAAACAAAACCATTGCAAAATGAGTATAAAATATTTATAAGTAATGAAAATTTAGAGGAAAACAAAACAATTTTGTTTGTTAATTGTTTAAAAATTAAAGGTAATTTTTGTGACTTTAAATATTTTAATTTGTTTTAATTTTTTTCAAAATTTAGAAAATAGGATTTGTGTAATGTGGACAAAAATACTTATGGAAACAGTTTGCAAAAATCCTAGTCCATCTTTAATAATAATTTTGAGACAAATATTTGAAAAAAACTTAAATGATAAAAGTTTTATTGATTCACATTTAGAATTAATTTTTGATACATTTGAATGTTTGATTCAAACTTATTTTGAAAAATCTCTTGACTGTGAATCTAAAAGTCTACATGAATTAAACCAAACTTGGAAACTTTTATTGAACCATATATTGGATACTTACAATACAGAAGTAGTAAAGAGATGTTGTTCTGTTATATTAAACTATGTTAAAACTTCTGAAATCAATTTAGAACATGTAGAAAGTGCAGTTGACCAGTTTATTGATGAAGTATTATCTTGTACTAAATGTGAAGAAGTATCATTCAAACTATTTTTTGAGCTATTTAAGGATATGAAAATAAATAATTATGATAAAATAACAGATTGTTGTGAAATAGTATCTTACATTGATGGATCTTTTTTATATGTCGGAAGTAATAAAGAAACAACTTATATAAATGAAGAATGCTTTAGCAAAGTGTACTCTTTATACTCTCATACTTATGTTTCTTCAAAATTAATTATGAAATTTTTTGATGCTACTGAACATTTTTCCAATTTTGTAAATAATATTAATGAAGAATTAGTTCAAGTTATAACTAATATTATTTTTAATCTTAATGTTGTAATGGATATTATGAATTATTTCTCTAGTGTAAGTTTCATTTATTTAAATATTTCTTAATTAATTAAAAAAAAAAATTATATTTATGAATAATAAAACTAATAAATTATATTTAGCGGAAATACTGTTATCATCTGAAAAATAATATTGTTGAAGATACCAGAACTATTGTGGCTGATATAGTACAATCACAACCAAAACATATTGCTTTGAATGTTATTAACAAAATAATTGAAAAGTAAGCTTGTGCTTGCTAATTTGACATTTTTCTTATTCTTTAAATGAAGCTTTTCTACAATATAAATTAACATTTTTTTATAGAATCATTTCTGAAAGATTTTATTGGAGCAAACCTTTAGCATCTATTTTAGAAGTGCTATCATTGCCTCAAGATGAATTAATAAATATATATAAAACGGCATTGATACAGTATAGTGATTGCACAAATATGATTTATATTATACAAGTAATTAAATGAATTTTTTTAAATTCTCAATAAAATAATAATAGTTAATTGTTTGACTGGTAAAAGTGCTTATTTTTATTTTAGCATTATAATTTATTGTTATAAGTGTTTTACAGGTGTTTGTTTGTTTGTGTGGTATTAAAAATCTAGAGTTTGATCATCTTCCACTGTCATATACACGTTGTGTTTGGAATGTGCATTTCAAACATGCTGTTTTAAATGAAGAATTGATTTCACAATATGAAAAAGTATTAATGGCTGAAGAAAAAATATTGGCATATGATGTAGAGTGAGTATTGAACGATTTTTTGTAATCAGGATATAAATAAAGAAATAGGAGTTAATAATAGGAAATAATTATGTTAAAAAAATCCTTTTTGGGTATTATTTAGCTTCATATATTTTTCGATTTATCGATTATAATTTTTTTTGTATTTTTATATTTAGTTTTTTTAATTCATTATTTATAAAAATATAGTAAATATAATAGAGTAAAATGGGATAAAAGTTCAATAATTTTATTTAATATTTATGAACTAATGGTTGGTTAATATTAAAACTTAGATTATTTTTACATGTTATATTAGTCAATTTTATAAAATTATCATAGCTAAAATTGTATACATTATATAGATTATAAAAAATGTTCATACTTTTATTATATTTCTTTCTTTGACAAAACTATATTAAATTTAAAAGATTTTAGTTTTTTCAATATTAAGTATGGACATACATTTATTTCGCACAAAATTTTCGGCATGATTTTATAGAAACATTTTTGATTTGGAGTAAAAGTTCAAAGTAGTTTATAGAGCTTTTATAAAAGAACACTATTATTACTTATTTTAAAATAAATAAGGTTTATTTTTATGGGATGATTTTTAAATTTGGTAAACTTCGACATATTTTTAACTTTTTTCTTAAACACATAAATTTTTTAAAAATGATTTTGTTTTATATAAAAACTTTAAGTATTTCTCTTTTATTTAATATACATTTTTTGAAAATGTGACATTACACTTACCTATTAAAAGGATTCAAAATTTTGCAATTTTTGCATGAAAAGTTTAACTCAACATTTGTAAATGTTTCAAAAATACTCCAGAATTTAAAAATATGTTATATTAAAGCTATTTACTATAAGATAAAAAAAAATTGTCCTGTCATCTTGTCTTTTATGTGTAAATGGTCCCCAAATTTGTATAGTCAATTCAATATGTATGATTTCATCCTAAAATCTATGATCTAAATTTAAAAAATGACTTTTTGATAAAAACTTTTGACACACTATTTTAAAAATTAGTGTGGAGGTGAAGTATGGTTTATGTTTTTTTTATCATTACGCTTTACTCTGTTTTGCTATTTATATTTATATATGTTAATAACTTCTGAAGTACTATTTGGATTAGTACTTTTCTTAATTAGATCATTTTTTATTTTACTATCTAGTTAGATATGTATTTTGTCCTTAAAAAAATAATGTTAACATCCTTCTAAAGTATAATACATGAGTTAAAAAAAAAACCTAATAATTGTAAATGTATAAAATTAAATTTTTTTAATATTAATTTTTATTTTATAAGTATTTGAATGGCAAATTATCCTATATACAATAACTTTATAACTTTTTTATAATTTCTTGGTAAAATTACTATACTAAATTATTCAATATCAATTTCATACTAATTTTAATTATTATAGAAAGAATTTATGATTAAAGAAATAGGAGATCATGTAGCTTTTGGAATAATCCACCAATTTCTTAAAATTAAATATCATTTACAGATTTGCATCGAAGCGTTTCTAATGATAGTGATTTTAATCATTGTCAGATATCATCTATACAATCCCAACTATGACAATCAAAGTATAATAAATTCCTATGTTTGGTTTTTTTTACATTTAAGTTGAATTGGAAAGGGATCTTTTATGTTTTTTGCTCTGGAGCCAAATTTGTATACTTAAGCCACTGATTATATTTTTACAACATTATTATTAAATATCTTATTTGTATGATTAATTTAAGTTAATAAGTTTTGATAACATGGGTGTAATTGATTTAAAGATATTTTTGGGAGCAAATAATACTTCCAAATTGATTAATTGGCNAATATGACTCTATGCTATAACTTTTATTAATAAAAAAAGTTACCTCTAGGAATAATTTTAATTTCATTGTATGAAAGATTAAGCTGAGTTAATCTAATAAGTTTTGATAACATGGGTGTAATTGATTTAAAGATATTTTTGGGAGCAAATAATACTTCCAAATTGATTAATTGGCATAATTCATCTGGAAAAACTGAAAGATTGTTATTATCCAGGTATAAATGAGTTAGTTTATCCATGCAGTTTATCCATTTCGGCTATAACATAATAAGTAAAAAAAAGTAGTTTAAATGTGTATTTAAATAAAAATTAACTATGCATTTTTTACTCTAATTATTAAATCTTGAAAAAATTACACTTACTATTTCTTCAATATTGTTGTTTTTCATATAAAGTTGATAAATTTGATATTTATATTGAATAAAATCCGTTGGAAATTTGTTTAAATTCCTATCATTCCAATGAAATATATTTCCAATGTTGAAAGCAAACTCCATTGTTAATCATTAAAAAATATGTCTAAGAATTACTATAGCATATACATGCTAAAAAATATAAATAGAAATTGGCTGCAAATCAAAAATTATATATATATATATATATAGGTCACTAGATTAATACTTACTCGTAATATATATATGTATATATATATTGTTTAAAATTTTAATTATATTTACTAAAAAATTTTGTTAAAAAAATTATACGTTTTATAACTTAAAACATTTATTAAATATTATTTACTTTTACTCTTTATTAACTCATTTAACAAAAATAAGTTTGGTTGATCTTTTATAATGTGTATTTTTTATATAAAAATGTTTTCAACATAGATAGTTTCACATAATGTCATTGACATATATTATAGATTGTGATTAACTAATATTTGGGGAAGAACAATTTTATTTTAAATTACCAAATAAAATTGTATACAGTGTTAGCTACTGGTTATATTTTTACAATATTATTATTAAACATCTTATTTGTATGATTAATTTAAATTTTTTTAAAACATCAATTAGATTTAACAATATAATAATGCACAAATAATTAATTGTGTATAATTAATAATACTTTGTGATAAAAATTATTTTGATGAAACATATTTTTAGAATTTTTATTTTGCTAAATTTTTAAATCTGTTATAGTAATTTTTTTAATTTTTCAGATTTTTTACTGACAATAAAAAATTATTAGAAGCGTTAAGACATGTTGAATGCTTAAACATTATTTATGAACGCTCTAGTTCATTTATAAAATTAAAGTATAGTAAATTAGTATTTAATCATTTAAATACTTGGATCCAGGTGTTGACTTCAGTAGATATTAGTAGTGTTTCATTTTTACCAGTTGGAATACTAATTACTATTGTGGGATCATTATATTCTAATGTTATGAAGTTTTATAATCAAGAGTTCTATAAAGATGTCGATCAAAATAATGATACTGTTATAAAATTTAAATCAGATACAAACATATTACATGAAAATCTGATAAAAATTTGGATTAATTTATCTGGGAAATATGAAGATGACATAACTCATCAATTGGTTTTAGAAACATTGAGTAGTGTAATAGAACATGTAGAATTTGATAATATTGATGAAAAAAATTTATTTAGTCTATGTTCAGATCTCATTTGTTCAGACTGTTATTACATAGAAGTAACTGCATATAAGATTTTAGAAAAGTGAATTTTTTATTAATAATTTAAAATAAAATAATTATATATATATATATATTGTGTATACTTTTAGGATATGTGAGTATCATAAAGTAAGTGTTGACAGTGAGGATGACTCTGATCAAATACCATTTGTACTAAGTGTACTCCCTCTTAAACGGCTCCAAGATCTTGTTACTTGTACATTAAATGATATAAAGTATTTATATTATATACAATTACTTAATATATATGAAAACAATAATTTTCATTCAGCAATAATTTTAGATTTGGAAGTACGTATGAACCTCAACCTTTTACAGAAAATTTTAAAAACACTAGGGTATACTTATTACTATGGAATGTGATATTCAAGTTATGCTCAAAACTTGAATCCCAAGAACGTTATAAATATACTTCCCATTTAAAGTAAATTAATAATTTTTTTTTCTTTATTGAATGATTAGTTTTTAATTTTCAATGTTATTTGTTAATTATTGTTGTTTTAGTGATAAAAATGCAATTTCTTGTTTAACTGAAAACTTGTTGAAGCTCATGCCACAATCAATTATTAAAACATATGCTAACAATGATGTAAATCCAATAATCAAAGGATTATTTAACACTCCACCTTCTTTTTCCTCCAAGGATTATTGGGATAACAAGAAACTTTGGCATTTAGTATGTTGGACTTATTATAGTTTACTTCATACATTACCAGCAGTAGTTCGTAAATGGTGGGTTGATAGTGAACACAAAGTGTCAACTTTAGTTGATAAACTTACGACTAAATATGTATCACAAAGTTTAATTTTGCAAGAATTCCAAGATATAAAGCAAGCAAAAAAGATTGATAACATTGTGGTAAGTACTATTTGATAATTTTTTCAGGAGGAAATAAGTCTCATGATTGAGGCGTTTTAAAGCCAAGCTAATTAACTTTATTTTTTTAATCTAACCATGTTATTATTGCTATTATTAAAAAAAGTAGAGTTAATCAGCTTTGCTTCTGTGTAAGTCAAATTTTGAATTTGTTATATCTTATAAGAACACTATACTAAATTTCTTGTAATTTGGTTAAATTTTTAAGTATATCTACCCCAAAAATGTAAATAATATATTTAGTAGGAGTTCAGTAAATGAAGTCTGTATAAAACATTTATCTTAATGTTGAAAAAATTTGCTATTGGATTAGTTGTTTGGTGGATATTAAAAGTATCAAATCTCTTTTTAAGGTAACATTATATGAAAATCGAGGCATTCTTGTTGTATCATACATAATTGAAGAAACAGCAGTTGATATAACAATTCAAATGGCTAGTAATCATCCTTTAGGTTTAATTAGAGTAAGCAGTGATAAAAGCATGATAAATATGTCACAATGGAAAGTATGGCTAAAACAGTTAGCTTTATTTTTTTCTCATCAAAATGGTTCAATTATTGATGGCATCTCATTGTGGCAACTTAATATCACTAAAAAATTTGATGGTGTGGAAGAATGTTATATATGTTATTCAATACTACACAACTCAAACTATCAATTACCTAAATCAGCTTGTCGTACATGTCACAAAAAGTTCCATAGTTCATGCTTAGTAAGTATGGCATTAAACAAATATTTTTATCTATACTAATTTTTGTTTTAATTTTTAGTATAAATGGTTTGTGACCAGTAACAAATCTACGTGTCCTATATGTCGAAATCTTTTTTGAATTATGTTTTGTTTATACAAATGCATATTAATAAAAATATAAAAAAAAGTGCATACATGTATGAAACAATATTTTTATTTTATTAAAATATTTTTCATGATACTTGTATTATGTATAAAAATACCTAAAAAAATAGTCTTTCCAACTATGTTTTAAAAATAATAATATTAATCAACATAATGTAAAGTGCCTTCTTTTGGAGGAGGTGTTCCCGCAATATTTTCTTGTGGAGAATTATTTTGCTGAATCCAATATGAAGGAATTTGTTGTTGAGATTGATAAGTAATAGTACCTTGTGATGGTTGCTGCTGCTGTATCTCAGCTGATTGAGTTGGTGTGAAGGTTTGATTTCTCATAGAATCAGGAAGAACAGTATATGTTACTGATGATGAACGATTAGACTCTGAAATTGGAGTATTTGATCGTTGATCTGGTTCAAATCCTCGTCCTAAAAATTGGAGGATAAGTTGAAAAAATCTCATCAATTGAAAAAAAATGAGCTATAGTTTAAAATGTGATTATTTGTAATTAATAAATTAGAGACAAATATAATTAACTGGGTGGTGCCGATTTCTATCGTCAAATAGAGTAGCTATTTCACCTACAAAAATGATAGGAAGGTAAGTAGTTGATGTTTTCTGTGACAATTAAAAATTTAATATATTATTAAATGTGCAAGTCTTTAAAAATCTGAACATTTAATTATCTCTTTATGTATAAAAACATTACATTAAGAAAAACAATTAATATGTAACAGAATTTGGTTTCAACCAAACGTTTAATATTTATATAAGTGTTGAGTATAAAAAACAGTTTCAGGTGTCTTAAGTATGTATTTTTTGCATTCAACACAAATAATTTTATTGCATAACAAAGAAGCAAAATTTATTTTAAAAAAGGCATATCGTGGATAACTTAATTCCTTTATGATGTAAAGCACTGAAATTTTTATTAAGTACTCTTAGATAAAGAGAAGGAATACATTGAAAATAAAATAAAAACAAATTTGGGACCTCAAAGTTTACAAAAGTGCTAAAATAACAAATTTTTTTAATAAATGCATGACTATTATACAAAATATTATCTTTGAAATTTTTAGATAAGATCATAACAGGAGTAAAATTATTTCAATATTGTGAGTATAATATTTTTACAAATAGTCTTAAATGTGGAAAAATTAGAACTATTAAAATATTTTTATATCATACTACACTATGTATTTTTAATAAAATATTATAAAAGAAATAAATATACCTTTCAAACTAGTGTTCGAGCAATCTTTTGAGCGCATATCACCTATAAAATTAATAACTATTTAATTATTATTCCAAAAATAAATTAAATCTTTATATATTAATAAACATTAAAATTAATTAGACCTACAAAGAAAAATCAGTTTAAAATAATTATATTGATATGCTAAAAAAAAATTATAATTAGTAATCTTTTATCATCAGCGGAAAAAGAAAATTACACAATTCAATATAAATAGTTTTTAATATTTAACCTGAAATATTTGAAGCATTTAATGTAGGTTGTTGTTGAAAATTTGTTTGTGGAGTACGCCTTCCAGTATTTGAAGTTTGAACCATACCATTAATGGTTATATGACGTACTTGGTTATCATCAATATTCTCATTGTTACTGTAGAGAATTAGTAAAATTTGTTAAAAATTGTATATTAAATAAAAAATAAAATGAAACTGTTTAGTTTTCCTGGAAAATATTAACTACTTAAGCAATTATGAAAATATTCTGTTAGTAATCAAAAATGTCAATTTCTCAATTAATTAAAAATAAATTAGTATTTTTTATACTTGCCCAGTAATTGGAGATGGTCCAGTTCTTATGATTTTTGTTCCAGACATCCCTCCGCCTTCTGATACTATCTATAAAAACAAACACCTAATTTAATTTTATTAGATAATTTATCAAAAATTCATTTTTATAACTAATAAGACTTTATTAATAAATATTAGAGATTGACAATGACTATCAAACATAGATAACGGCAGTTTCTTATAAAACTTCAATACTATTATTCTATTGAAGTATACTTAGTTCTTATAATATTTTCAATTTATTTCTAGTGAGATATAAAATTAATGGAACAATAGATAATAAAGCAATAAAAAATGAAAGAAATTTATAAATTTTTCGTTTTTTTGGAATTTTGTAATATGTCACTGAATAAATAAGCGTACTAACTTAATAATAGAAACTACATAACAATCTAAAAATAAAAATTGTATAGATATATTTAAGAGATAAAAGAATATTAGTCATTACTTATCAGCTGACTATGTAATAGTGGTTGATTTATTGTTGACTAGTAAATATCATTTAAAATAACAATTTAAAAAAAAATTTCAATAAATAGAAAATGATACAACTATGAAAATGACTGGTCAATATCAACTTTTAAACCAATAGTTAAGAAGTTATAAATTGTTATACATGGGTAGGAGGGCAGCAGAGAAATGCATGATAAAATTAATGTAAAATATACTTTGTTTACAGTCTACTTTAAAAAATGTTGAAAACTTCCTAAATAATAGCTCAAAAGTTCTTATTGATCAGTCATTTTTTTAGATGGATCAATTTGTATGAAATTTACATACAAAAGATTGTATGAAAACTATTTAAATATGTTTGTCATTAAAAAAAAAAAAAAGTTGGTACCTTTATCCTTTAAGGGATAAGGTATAGACCTAAAATATATTTAATTACTCAAACATAAGAAAAAAATAATACTAAATAAAATAAAAATTATTATTATTACTCTAAGAGAAATTTAATGGTCAACAAATATATATCAAAAATGATAACAATTTTTGCTCGGAAATTGTAATTATATACAAGATACTTATACATATTTAGATAATTTTGAAACACAAGATAGTTAAAATTTAAAACAACATTTGTGTTTTCTCAAACCACACCAAATTTATTATAACATTAAAAAAAATTAAATTTATTTTATTGTATTTTAAGGTTTTCAATTTTTAGTTATTAATAATAATCTAATCTTACCATTTCATAAGATCTCTTAACAGGTTGATATTGAAACTGATTACTTTGTTGATAATAATGAACAGATTGCTGTTGTCCTTGTTGAATCATGATTGGTTGGTGAGAAGTTTCTTCTTGTTTGTAAATAACTTGCTGTTTATCCGAAATTTGAGTTTGAATTATTTGATGGTGTGGTTTGGGTGGTTGTTGTTGTTGTGGAAGTGCCATTGTAACAATACCATTTCCTTGAGTTTGCAAAATTTGATGAGAAATGGGTAATGACATTATTTGATTCCCATTTTGTGTTGGTGTCTGTTGGGTAAAAGCTTTACTTTGTTGTTGGATTAAAAGTTGTTGAGTTTGTGCATGGTTAGTCTGTGTTTGCAGTAAACCCGGCAAATTTTGTATAATTTGTGGTTGTATATTTTGAAATTGGTTTAACTGAGGCATCATCATTTGTATTTGAGCAGGTTGACCAGGTGTTTGCTGTACTATTAATTGTCCATTTGGAATATTAGCGGGAATAAGTTGACCTGATTGAGTTTGTTGGAGGTGAATAGTTTGTAGTGTAGGCTGTTGAATTTCAGGAGTTGGTTGTTGATATTGAACTATCATTACCTGACCAGGTTGGCTAGCTGGTTGTTGGTACTGTGCAACTTGACTACCCAAAATGTAAGTTGTACCAATTAAACCTGTATTTGTAGGTTGATTTAATTGTGTCACTTGACTAACATTTGGAGTTTGAGTCATTTGAAATGCATTTGATTGTACTTGAGGTTGATAAGCAATAATCTGACCATTTGATGTTTGGATATACTAAAAAATTAAAAAAGAGAAAACATTTTAACAAAAATTTATAATAAAAAATAATTTGTATTTACTTGAATGGGAAGAGTGGCTTGAGTCATAAAAGCTTGTGTATGGGGTATAACACCATTAGCTAATGATGTTGGAGTAGTATGAGTAACAGATGGATTATGTTGAACATTTTCCAAACTTTTCTATAAATAGTTAAACACAAATAAAATACGAATAGTTAAAATTAAAGAAGAATCATACAGTCTGTTGTTGTTGATGAATCTGATGTTGTTGAATTGTTGAGTAACTAACTGGGGTAATAGACAAAGGAATTTGTTGTTGTTGTGGATTAACTACTTGTGCTTGAATTTGAGAAATAATTGATGCCTGAGGCTGTGCTATTGAGGCAATATGTGTTGGACCTTGAGGATTTTGTGTTGATTGATGTTGCTGATGATTTCCCAAAACAGGAGATGGTACAGCCATTATTTGAGGAACTATGTACAATTTTTATTAAATTAGTAATTAGATTCAAAATGAAAATATAATACAATAAATTACCCCCTTGCTGAGTAAATAAAGGCATCTGAACATTAGAAACAGAAGTCTGAACCATTTGTGAGTTATCTTGTAGTGGCATCATGTTTGGTTGAGCAGCTACTTGTATAGTCTGATATTGTGCTATTTACAGTGTTGGGTAAATTACTTTTTTTTGGTAATCAAATTAAACTATAAATTACTTAATAGAATAGGAATTAAATTACTTAAAAATTGCCCAATATTATATATGTAAGTAACAAAATTACATTACTTATATGATAAAAAGTAATTTTTTTACAATGGAAGTTACTTTTTTTCATGTAAATGCCACATATGAAATTTATTTGAATTATATCACTTAAATCCATAGATGTTTTATGGGGAAAGAGTAATAGGGGCAAGTTCCATAAAAATATTAATACTTTTTTTTTATATAAGATGTGCTTAGTTTAGAAATATATTTTTATATTAATCAATGTTGTTTCTTTTGTATATACAAATTATTTTATCCCTACATCACAGATAAAGAAAGTTTTATCTTATCTGTGCCTACACTTTAACTAGATCTCAATGTCAATATAATTGTTACAAATATAATAATTTTATACAAAAGTCTACAAGATATTACTAATAACAATTCCATCAATGAACAAAATTGTGAAAGAGTGACTGACAGACAATATGACAGAACCGGGGTTACATTAGGAAACCAATATATTGGTTACTTTGCTGATGTCTATATATCAGCTTTATTAATGTATGACTATTCCCATACAATAATTATTTGATATTGATACAGTTATCAATGACAAATCATATATACTGTGTTATGTGCAGTGTATACAAAATTTGTTTATAGTTTTAGTTGTTAAAGAGAAGGGTAAGAATTGCCCATGCACTCAAAAACCTGTAGCTCCATTGTGCACATCTTCTATCGAATTACATTAACTTGGTTTCTTCACATAAATACTTTAACCAAAATGTTAATACTATAATTGAATACTGAAGACTATATATATATATATATATAAGTATTTCTTTGCATTTTAGATTTTTGATATTATCTTTTTCAAAAAAAGATTTTCCCAAACATTTAGATCTTAATGTAGCCAGGGTATTATATTCATACATAATGTGAAATGAATCTTTCTCTTCTGTTCTACACTTCCTACTTAGTGGTGATTCTGTCAATCCCCCGCGTAGAGATTTTTAAACAAATGGTAATATCCTATTAGAAATCAAGTCAGAGTACTTATTTGATATATAATCATGTTATTAAGATTTCTCAGTAGTAGACCATAAGTCTTGATAAAATTTTTTGATTGTATGGTTATCACAAGGTAACTCCATATTTTCCTGTAGAAGTTTTTGAGGAATTGCTTTGTAAGTTGTACCACGGGTTTTGATCCAACATAGGTGTTTTCTGCACCTCTCTTCTAGAAAGTCTGATTTTGTGTTACCACACCGCTGTGTCCTGGTATCCACGCTAGTATAGCTTCATTGAACTTAGTTAGTAATTTTCAAGTTTTCCCGCATTCAAGGGCTGTACAGCCTTGAAGTAACCGAATTATTACCAAATGCCTTTAGAGCAGCTTGGATAGTTATATTTCTTTTCTTGATTACTAGCAGGTTCCGAGCAGTGACTAGTATTTATCGAGGCCCATAAAATATTAATTTTGTAGGGGGTATTATTTTGGAGAATAGATTTCATACAATCTGAGGTATATTCCAGTTAACCCTAAACTATCTCTTTTATGTTCTATGGTATTGCTATCCATAGCCCACATACCTAAGTTGTGAAGTTTTAGTGCTATAGCTTTAACTTCTAGAATCTAGATGTAAAAGAGGTAATCCAATTAGTGCTACTGTTGGTATATTTCTTGTCACTCCACTAATAGCTATAGCAGCCAATCTTTGAAAGTGTTTAAGTTCTTTCCTGGTTGTAATAAGTGTTATTCTAGTTCACCAAACCAAAGCACTACATAAAACCATAGATTTAATCACTAATGTATTTTGTAGAGTTGTCCTCAAAAATCGAATGTATTTTTTTTTTTTACGCTACCCCTATATTTTTTTTTAATGGTAAAAAATGAGCTGTGCAAAATTTTGGACTTATTCGTTTAGGTTAACCCGTGCCCCCCGGGCCAATTAAATTGAGTCGAAGAGTCAAATTTAATAGAAATAACTGATCTATGTCTGATAACTTTTTTTTTGCTAACTTAGAATTATAAAAGTAAAACTTAAGTAAAGGAAATTTTATAAGAAATTCAAAAATAATAACTTCAATGTTGTTTTCTTAATAAATAACCCACAAAAATACTACATACAGTAAAAAACATGTAAAAGTCTTAATAATACGTTATAACTGATTTTGTTGATTTTTATTTATTTATTTTCATTTTATTCTTTGGAAAACGCATATTCGTTTAAAAAAAGATTCTAAAAGTTTAATTTTTTATGTCAAGTACGATAATTATATTAGATTGATTATTTTATACGCAGTTAATTAATGATTAATTACAAACCTAACAAAATTTATTGTATTATTATATGTGATATAATAATACATACCATATGAACATATTATTTAATATATAACAATAAACAGGTAAAATATGATTAAACATGTTCACAAATTGTCTGTTGCATTTATACCACACAAATTATGTCAGTTGTCGAAAATAACTCAAATATACTTATCTTTAATAATAGTATAATTGGTACTATCTTAAAGTAATTCAGTAAACTAAAATTGATATATTGATACGACAAATTGTAATAATTCTAAGTTAGCAAAAAAAAAGTTATCAGACATAGATCAGTTATTTCTATTAAATTTTACTCTTCGACTTAATTTAATAGGCCCGGGGGCACGGGTTAATCTAAACGGATCAGTCCAAAATTTTGCACAGCTCATTTTTTACCATTAAAAAAAAATATAGGGTTAGCGTAAAAAAAAAAAAAAAAAAAGACATTCGATTTTTGAGGGCCATCCTAGTGTTTAGTCAATACATAACTCTTGGTTTAAGGCTCAAGATATTTCTCAGAATTTTGTTGCATGTTCTTAACGTACCCATAACATTTTTGACTCTTATCTCAACATGTGATTTCCATCTTAGCTTACTGTCTAGGAAAATACCTACGTATTTCACCTCTGATTTAAAGCCAATTTCTTATCCATTCAGACTAAATGTGGAAATTTCTGTTCTTCTCCTGGTAAACATTACTACTTCTGCTTTGTTTGGATTAACAGCTAGGCTATACTTACTACACCACATGTCTATAGTGTTCATTCTCTACTACATAGCAAGGGAGATAGAATCTCTCCTTGTGGGTATCATTGCTAAACACTATTGATCTACTTTGGTTTAAGATCAATGTTTAAAATAAAAAATTATTACGGTAGTGTAATTTTATATTTTTCATTTTTTGAAAGTAATACCTTCAACTAAATTAGATTGAGATTCTGTTAACATGTATTCTTTTATCAAAACTACTTTATAAGTAGTTAGTTATACTGTCATTAAATTTTATTATTTTTATAAATTTTGTAATTAAATTTAAATTATTACCCAATGCTGATTATATATATATAAATTATTATTAAAATTTAAGTATTTTATAAGAGTTTAATTACTAGGATTTAACTGCTGCATTTGTCCATTATTTGTTTGTAAACTCTGTTGAATAATAGGTTGCTGAATATGAACAGTTGGGTTCTGATGATTAACATTAGATGACGATGCAACATGATTAGAACCATAAGTAGCACTATATTCATTTTGAATAGTTTCTATTAAATTAAAAGCTAATTGTCTTCCATTTTGTAATACTTCATTTTTGGCATGTCTATAATAAAAAAAAAACTATTTAATTGCAATTATTATTAAAGTACAGAATTAAATGTATATTTTGCAAAATACGCTATTAAAAAAAAAAAAAATTGACTTTGTAGATAAACAAATAATCATTAAATAGATATAGAAAATAAAGTTCAATAGAAAATAAAATTAAATTTTGACCTTAACTAAGAATACATAATTGAAAAAAAGTACTCTACGCATAGATGTAATGGTTCTACTGATTCTTGTCCATTTGCTTCTATAAATCCTGAACCTCTGCCTCTCATTGTCACTACAGCTCCAGTTTCATTCATAATATAATGGAGATTTGCACCATTCACACCAAGAATTTTATTTCTAAGATCAAAGGCAGGTGGTGCATGATCTAATCCAATTAATACTTTTTCCTAATAAACAATTCTTTTAGTAAACTTATAATTAAAAATGATAACATAAAATATTACTATTCCAGCTCCATTGATCAAAGGACCAGATGTTAGATTAGGATGTTTTGACATATCTTTGTCACGTTGAATTAATGATTGTATTTTTTGTATAGCAACTAAAATATTAAATTATTAAATATTTTCTTTTAATATTATTTAACTTATTTTAGAGTAAATTTTAAACTTTTATAAGATATCTTACGATCTAAATTTTGTTTTTTTGGACCTTTTATCAATAAATGTAATGACCGCTCAGATGATGCTTGGTTTTTTTCCTTTGGTGTCAAATAGCGACCTCTGGTCACAATTATAGTACCTGAATGACAATAATAAAATTATGGAATAAAAGAAAAAAAATTATTAAAAAATTAAGAAAGTCTTAAAAATAACAATATATTTAAAGATTAAAGTTAATTTTAAAATTAACAATGATGAAAAAGAATTTCTGTATTTCATAGAAGGTAATTATGAATTATCCACCAAAATTTTAGATGATAATGACAAAATTCTAGAAACTTACAAAATTCACTAAACATTATTTCCCTGAAAATTACATAAATCTAATTAAATATTTTGAAAAAATCGTAAATAGTAGAAATTATTGATGAATTGCAATTAAATAATTAGAATTAATATAAACAAAATTTCAAATGTTAAAAATTATTTCTTAATTTATTATTGATAAAAAATTTTCATATTGTTTTTTTTTAATTTTACATATAGTTATAACTGACTAAAACTTAAGAATCGTGTATAGGTTCATTAGCATACTATAANAATTTTACATATAGTTATAACTGACTAAAACTTAAGAATCGTGTATAGGTTCATTAGCATACTATAATTATAAACAAAAAATGTATTTAATAAATAGACCTTACAATAATATGAATTTATAAATTTTGTTTAATACATTTTGAAGGATTTCAAGTTAGTGTAACTTTGTCATAGGATTATATAGTAGTGTAAAAAATTGTTCACTTTAGGGAGGATTAATCCTAGTTAATCCTCCTCAAAACTATTATATCGATTTAACACATTATTATGTTATCAAGTCAATTAATAAAAATTTATTCTGGTTGATGGTGTTTTTGGAATAACTTAACAATATTTATAAAAGCTTATAATATATTCTGCATTCTACTTATAAACTATTAAAAATAATTTACTTTAAAAATATTTTAAGTCAATATATTTATATACCAGAAAATTCTTCTATATCATTCTGAATGGACTTGCTAGTAAGTAATATTCTATCTGTATCAGCTAAGTCATTTATCTCAAATTGAGTTTTCAGTTGTGGTGATTGTTGTTGAGGTGATCCCTGAGCCTAATTAAAATAATTATTGAAACTTTTATCTTATGAATAAAAAAATTATTTACTTCAGACTGATCACTCATCCGTTTTGCAAGAGCTGTTTCTACTCGACTAGCCATTTCTACGGCTAATTTAAGATTGTTATTTGGTATGGACATCATTTTGACAGTTATGTCTATTGTAAATTCACATTTCAAATTTTGAAAATTAATAAAACATAGTTAACTCAGTATTACATTAATTATTTTTTAATGTATGCTGTGATTACTTTAGAGAAGTACTTTGAATTAAGACATAAAACGTATATATCAAAAATTTCAATTCCAATTTTAATAATACGAACTTAAATAATGAATTACTGACGCTTAACATTTTTAAAATACTAAGATAACAAAAGAACAGTAATGAGTTCAGAGTAATCTGGGGGAAATATAAACAACCAACCAACCCTTATGAAATCAAACAGTGTGGCCATTTAAAAAAACTTTTTTCCTTGTACATAATACATTACATTATAAACAATTGCACAATAAGGATTTAAATATGAAGGAAGTTTTCATTTCTATCTATTCTATAATAGACATATAGTCTGTGGTTTTAATTAAAATGTTTTTTTATTCGTCAGTTTTAGGAATTACTCTTAAAAATGCGATTAAAAGATCTAAAATACATCTNTTATTCGTCAGTTTTAGGAATTACTCTTAAAAATGCGATTAAAAGATCTAAAATGTTAAATTACTAGGAATTTTTATTTATTTTGAATAATTACTTCTTATTAAAATGGAATTTTTAGGAGGCGTAATTAAGAGAGTGATGAGGGGTCAAATCTTCCCTAAGACCTATAATCATAGATGTTCTCAGATATTTAGGTTAGAAACACTAACATTTTTTATTAGCCTAAAATCTATCAATCAATATAATAATAGTTCACTCTTTAATACTAAGTAGGTTCTAGTTTTTTCTATTGAGTTACAATTGCTACTGGTCCTATTAAATAAACTATATCAGACAAGGGCAGTAAAAGCACCCATTGCCACCCCTATATGCACGTCTATTCATATACACATGTGTATAATTATTTAACGACTCATGAGGAGAGATTAATTTTAATATATTTGGACAGGAGGAGAAGTTACCCCAGGAATTCACTAACATACCCCGATATTTCTTAATTAAAACTTTTGAGTTTTTTACCCTAAAATTCTAAGTAAATTCAAAAATTAAAATACTAATGTAAAGTTTATTATATGTATTTCAAAAGAAAATAAATTTCCAAAACATTTTTTTGTGTAACTAAATAACAATTAATTAATATGTAAAATTATTTGCAATTATAACTGTTATAATTTTAATATGTTTTAGATAAATATGAGTACAAATGTAATAACTCATTTAAGTTTCACCGTGTTACTTGGCTCGCTAACATACCAAGGTATTTCCTATTGCATAAAAACAAAAACATAATCTATATTTGTTATTATTATTTAGACAATTTTCGGAGTAAAAAAATTCTAGTTTTGTTCCTTTTATACATTATTATTGAATAGATATTTTAATAACATCGCCTGTATATGAGCATATATAGAAAAACATTCAATAAAAAAACTTAGGGGTGATAAAATTATTGATTTCAAGGTGACCTGTAAAGGTGAAACCACTTTCCCTTTAATCCTGTATCGCATAATAGACTTAAATTTCATTATACAACAGTAAATAATCATTTTAAGAACATTTAAAATAATTATTTCTATAATATCACAAATTGATTTTGTAATATAACCAAAGTTAGCAATAAATTTACTAGTACAAAATGGAATAAATTCATTCGTTCCATTATAAAATAATCCTTTATAAAGTTTAGCTTAAAATAACTTTGGATGCTAAGCACCTCTTGGCATCCTTATTCACACAAAACAATTTTGGAGTTTTTTTAATTAAAACTTAAACTATGTTTAATAGTCACAGGTCGAATTGTCTTTTTGAATTTAGATCAACTATACCGTACCGTTGAATTAAATATATTATTCTGAACATTAATACATTTTAATTAAAAAATATCAAAAGTTGAAGTAAAAATATTAGGTTTCTTGGTTTAAATTCTTACAAATTTAGATTAGTTTGAATCCAAGTTTAATTACAAACAATATTTTCAAAATGAAAAGTCAGAAGTCACACTATGATATAAACTAGTATTAATTTAACCCCACAATGTAATTAGTTTAATTATATTGACAATATCTTGCAATATGATTAAATCAACACTCCACTAGTTCCACTTCACTAGTTGAAAATTTACGTGCATGAATACAACCACATTTGGTGTTAAAATAACTATACATTTATTTATGGATATAATATCCATTGATATCGCTTAACGATGTACATTTTTTATTATCTTCTTCCATCCAAAAATATATTCTATCTACAATACATAAGCATAGGAGTCAAAAGTAAGCACCATTGATATCGGAGTCATACTTTTAAGTCTTAAGAAGTGAAGAATGAACTTAAAAATATTTAGCCTAACACAATCATTTTTTTTGAAAGACAGAAAATGTGATTATGAAGAATTATTAGTTAGATGTATTTTTTAATATGGAATCTCTCAAGTAAATTTAAAAATTTTAAATTCATTTTCGTTTTAATGGAATATATAATTTAAACATAAAGGAGATGTCTATTTTAAAGATTTAACTCTATTTTTCTGTTTTCCACACAATCCATGAGTTCCAAGGAGGTGCTGCAGATCCCTAGTATCCCTCTTGAGGCCCGCTCTTGAATCTGACCATCCACCCGGGAGTCTTATACATAATATTAAGACTTTCCTAGTAACACATATTTATGTGGTTGTACCTGAGTATTGAGTCCTAAGTTACCACACGCTGTCAAAAGCCATACACAGAAATAAACAAATATATTTAAAAAATTGTTTTAATCGATTGTTTAACATTTGAATAACTAATGTAGTATTTTTAAAACATTTAAATTATTTAATACAATACTTTAACTCTCGGAAAGAAATTCCGTTATTGATCTCAAATAGCTGAGTATAAATTTTATGACAAACTTTAGAACAGAAAAAAAGTGCTTCAAGATGAATTTTTGACCTTAAAATAAAATAATAATTAATAAATAAATATTTAACTAGATAAAAATGTATTATTTGTATTAATATATTTATCTTGTAATCTTAAATAAATATACTTTTAAGAAACTTACCCGTCGTTAGATAAACATATATAAAAATAATTAAATAAAGGTCTTGAGCATTGCATACATAATGCTGCAGGACCGGAAGTAATTTGCCTATTCAACGATATTGGAATATCATTTTTTTGAAATGACACTTTCCATACATAAACCATCCTAAGGGCGAATTCTTTTAGTGTAGGACAATAAGCATCTCCTTCAACATGTAAAACTTGTTTTATTTTAGGTGAGATAACTATGTCATGACTTTTACATGTTAACATGATATTTGGTAATATTTCTGTAAGTGGATGTTTAAGAAAGCCACAACAATTTGCCCTAATATAATTTCAATATTATCTTAACTGCATTTATTTTAAAATTTTCTTATGAATTAAAAATACATTTTTACTTACTGAGTATTCATTATCATATAACTTAAATATGGGTTATGGTCCACATTTATTTTTGCTTCTTTTCTGAAGACTAGTGCAGGTAAATACAATAGTTTATTATGATGAAGTGAAATATACTCTATATTTTTTAAACGAGTTAAATTATCCGGTACACACTTTAAATTATTATTATTAAGAATAATTTCACCATAATATAATTCATCTGGGTAAAATATCTCAGGTAATCTTTCAATCATATTATGTGATAAATCCAATAACCACAATGACGACATATTAAAAATTTCTGTTAAATATTTTTTAATTGTAGGTAAGTAATATGACTCTATGCTATAACTTTTATTAATAAAAAAAGTTACCTCTAGGAATAATTTTAATTTCATTGTATGAAAGATTAAGCTGAGTTAATCTAATAAGTTTTGATAACATGGGTGTAATTGATTTAAAGATATTTTTGGGAGCAAATAATACTTCCAAATTGATTAATTGGCATAATTCATCTGGAAAAACTGAAAGATTGTTATTATCCAGGTATAAATGAGTTAGTTTATCCATGCAGTTTATCCATTTCGGCTATAACATAATAAGTAAAAAAAAGTAGTTTAAATGTGTATTTAAATAAAAATTAACTATGCATTTTTTACTCTAATTATTAAATCTTGAAAAAATTACACTTACTATTTCTTCAATATTGTTGTTTTTCATATAAAGTTGATAAATTTGATATTTATATTGAATAAAATCCGTTGGAAATTTGTTTAAATTCCTATCATTCCAATGAAATATATTTCCAATGTTGAAAGCAAACTCCATTGTTAATCATTAAAAAATATGTCTAAGAATTACTATAGCATATACATGCTAAAAAATATAAATAGAAATTGGCTGCAAATCAAAAATTATATATATATATATATATAGGTCACTAGATTAATACTTACTCGTAATATATATATGTATATATATATTGTTTAAAATTTTAATTATATTTACTAAAAAATTTTGTTAAAAAAATTATACGTTTTATAACTTAAAACATTTATTAAATATTATTTACTTTTACTCTTTATTAACTCATTTAACAAAAATAAGTTTGGTTGATCTTTTATAATGTGTATTTTTTATATAAAAATGTTTTCAACATAGATAGTTTCACATAATGTCATTGACATATATTATAGATTGTGATTAACTAATATTTGGGGAAGAACAATTTTATTTTAAATTACCAAATAAAATTGTATACAGTGTTAGCTACTGGTTATATTTTTACAATATTATTATTAAACATCTTATTTGTATGATTAATTTAAATTTTTTTAAAACATCAATTAGATTTAACAATATAATAATGCACAAATAATTAATTGTGTATAATTAATAATACTTTGTGATAAAAATTATTTTGATGAAACATATTTTTAGAATTTTTATTTTGCTAAATTTTTAAATCTGTTATAGTAATTTTTTTAATTTTTCAGATTTTTTACTGACAATAAAAAATTATTAGAAGCGTTAAGACATGTTGAATGCTTAAACATTATTTATGAACGCTCTAGTTCATTTATAAAATTAAAGTATAGTAAATTAGTATTTAATCATTTAAATACTTGGATCCAGGTGTTGACTTCAGTAGATATTAGTAGTGTTTCATTTTTACCAGTTGGAATACTAATTACTATTGTGGGATCATTATATTCTAATGTTATGAAGTTTTATAATCAAGAGTTCTATAAAGATGTCGATCAAAATAATGATACTGTTATAAAATTTAAATCAGATACAAACATATTACATGAAAATCTGATAAAAATTTGGATTAATTTATCTGGGAAATATGAAGATGACATAACTCATCAATTGGTTTTAGAAACATTGAGTAGTGTAATAGAACATGTAGAATTTGATAATATTGATGAAAAAAATTTATTTAGTCTATGTTCAGATCTCATTTGTTCAGACTGTTATTACATAGAAGTAACTGCATATAAGATTTTAGAAAAGTGAATTTTTTATTAATAATTTAAATAAAATAATTATATATATATATATATATTGTGTATACTTTTAGGATATGTGAGTATCATAAAGTAAGTGTTGACAGTGAGGATGACTCTGATCAAATACCATTTGTACTAAGTGTACTCCCTCTTAAACGGCTCCAAGATCTTGTTACTTGTACATTAAATGATATAAAGTATTTATATTATATACAATTACTTAATATATATGAAAACAATAATTTTCATTCAGCAATAATTTTAGATTTGGAAGTACGTATGAACCTCAACCTTTTACAGAAAATTTTAAAAACACTAGGGTATACTTATTACTATGGAATGTGATATTCAAGTTATGCTCAAAACTTGAATCCCAAGAACGTTATAAATATACTTCCCATTTAAAGTAAATTAATAATTTTTTTTCTTTATTAAATGATTAGTTTTTAATTTTCAATGTTATTTGTTAATTATTGTTGTTTTAGTGATGAAAATGCAATTTCTTGTTTAACTGAAAACTTGTTGAAGCTCATGCCACAATCAATTATTAAAACATATGCTAACAATGCTGTCTGCACGATACATATATATAGTCGATCTTAAATAATTTTTATTTCGTTTAAGACATGAAAAAGAAGGTTCAGTAGTACAGTTAGAAATTGGTGTACAAACATATATTCTTAGTGCTATTAGGATACACGTCCGTAAGAGAATCTCCTCGTAATAATTTACACATCTGTAGAGGAGAAATGCAATTCATTTGTTTATTTGTAGATTCTAAATAATATTTAAAATGTATACATTCTACTGAAAAAGCTTTTTCAATATCATCTAGTTAACATTCTTGTAATTTACCGGGATATTCAATTATTTCCGAGCACTTAAAGAAATAAGCTTGTGGAGTACGATAAATTTAGTGAAGTAGAAATTATAAGCCTGTCGCCGTTTTTCTAATTCGCTTGCTATTCGATCAATAATCACATAAAATGTAAATATTTTAAACTTTTCGCGACCATTAATTGATGTATCAGTATCGTTTTTTTCATCAGAAAATACTTTCCTCTTTTTTAGACCGGACTTGGCATTTTGATATAATTCAACTCCTGACATAGTTTTTGCTTTTCTTCAAAATAGCCAAATCTATACCGAGTTTTTTGAATAAGATTAATAAGCGATGCATATAACTTTGAAGCAGTACCAATATCAATTGCGATACCTTGTAATGTTTTGTTAGTTATATTAAACTGTTCTAATACGTATGTCCAAAATACTGTTAAAAATGCGGTTTACAAAGATTGTAAACTTGTACATAAAGCTTCGTTTTTTGTAATGCATTTTTCGTATTCATTATTCTTAATAAGTGACAATGAGTTTATTATTTCTGACCATGATGCATTTAAAGCTCTCATGTATCCGCGCAAGCTGGCCATCTAGTTATTGATAAGTATTTAACTGTGTATGAGTTTTGCTTCATATTGTCGTGTAAAATATTCCATCTATGTGTAGATGCCGTAAAAAAATTGTAAAGTTGTTGAATAAGTCCAAAAAATTAAGATGTATCACTACAACATTCTGCGGCAGAAGTTCCTACTAAATTTAATGAGTGCGCAACGCATAGTACAAAATAAGCTAAGGGAGTAAATTCTTTTATTTGGGTCTGCAAACCTGTATAAATTTTTTNATTTAATGAGTGCGCAACGCATAGTACAAAATAAGCTAAGGGAGTAAATTCTTTTATTTGGGTCTGCAAACCTGTATAAATTTTTTGATATATTGATGGCGTTATCATATGCCTGTCCTCGGCAATTAGCAATATCAATATTATGAACCTGTAAAATATTTAATATGGCATTTGTCAATTCTGCAGCTTTGTGACCTACATTAGGAGTAAAACATAAAAAACGTTCAATAGGTTCGCCGTTATGCTGTACATATCTCACCATAAAAGAAAGTTGGTCGACATGAGAGATATCTGGGGTAGAATCTACACTAATTGTAAAGTATTTACATTCCATTAACTCTTGATTTATAGTATTTTCCATTTTTTCGTAATTAATAGTAAAACCTCGTCACAAATACCGTGTGATAAGTAGGAAGTTGTACCGCTTCTTTTATTAACAAAACATGCAATATAATCTGTTAATAAATATAGTTTAAAAAAACTAAAAAAACACGCTTTTAAAGCACATCGAACTAAAAAGTTTAAAGTAATTTTTAAAATAAGTTTAAAATAATTATGAACAAAAAATACTAATATTATTTTGATAAAAGCATCGGGCGCTCAATATACGAAAAATATGGCACAAAGCACCCACGCTTTTATCACAATAATATTAGTATTTTTTGTTCATAATTATTTTAAACTTATTTTAAAAATTACTTTAAACTTTTTAGTTCGATGTGCTTTAAAAGCGTGTTTTTTTAGTTTTTTTAAACTATATTTATTTTTTACTTTTTAGTTTCATGTTATGATAGTAGTTACTATTAATATCATGGTTGTAACGGGTAACGGGAAATCAGGGTTCGATTCCGAGGAGGGTGTCTGAGAAACGGCTGCCACATCCAAGGAAAGCAGCAGGCGCGTAATTTACTCACTCCCGGAACATGGAAGTAGTGACGAAAAATGACGATACTGGATTCATCCTTTGTAATCGGAATGAATGAGTTCTATATCTCTAAATAAGAATAAAGTGTGTTAATATATATTTTTAATAGAAATTAGAATATATATATACACGTAAAGCGACTTAAGTACGTAAACGTATCATGCATTAGGTACAGTCGTGTTTATGGGCGGGCGGGTCGGACTAACGTTATACCTGAGGTATAAACGGTGGTAGGAATATATAAATATATATACGTAAGGCGCATTAGACGCGGGCGGTATTGGTCAGTCAAAATAAAAATTTGTTTATATATATATATAATATTGAAGACAAGCACGCGTGTACGGGTACGATAACTAAAAATAAATTTTTATAGGAATAGTGT